TCTATAGCCGTAGCGCGCGCGTTACAACGCATGATCGATTAAGTAGAGAAAGCCGGCCGGGCTTGAACACTCTTGCGCGCGCTCGAGCACAGCTTCAACACCGGTTTTGCGCGCGCGCGCGTGTGTGTGTGTGTGTGTGTTTTACGTGCGTTGTGCGTGCACCTCGCTTTCGATCACATACTGTGCACAAAACCGCGATGTGTTTTTCTCTCGTAATCCCGTGATGATGAAACAGTAGCACGTATGTAGCAGTGTTTTGTCGGAGCTCGCGTATATCGCACTTTTGGTATCTTCGGAGACGTTCGAGCAACGTCCGAAAATACACCTCTGTTTTCGCGCGGACTGGAAAGTTTACTCGTGACGGAATAATGCATGTCTTTATCTGACCGCTACACGGTCTTATGTAAGCCAGCGGCACCCCGAGGCCGATTTATTCGAGGCTTTCCGTTTCGCTGCGATTAGGCTTATCAGATCCGCGGCGCCGACAATGTCCGATCGTATTTCTCGGTCTTTAACCGCCCGCCATTCTCTTACGTGTAAAGTGCATTCTATTACCGTCGCTATCGATAAGCCGTTTTTGCACGCTTATGATTCGCGCGCGAAAATTCAATTAAAATTCGATCTTGATTTATATAACACGTGAAATTAATAACGATTACACAAACGCGGACACGCAGTTCTGCTTGTTTTTATTTTTATTTTTTTTTATTTATTGTTAATTCGTTTTATTTGATTCCGAATTAGTGTTTACCGAAAGAAAAACTGTAAGAGCAAAGTTTCGCGAGAATGCGAATTGTAATATAAAATTAATTCACTTATTGCGAATTAAACAGTCGTGTAACAGTCGTATATAAACCGAATAGAACGTGTGCACACATGTAACTTCATCGCAGCTAGAGCGCATCGAAGAGCGTATTACAGAATAGAGACTCAATGCTGGCCTTTTACTATCGATTCTACCGACGTTTCTGCGGAACGTAGTTGCTCGTCTCTTCTGACCTTTCAGAAGTTACGTGAAAACAATACACCTTCAGTTTGTCGAACGTATCCCAAAGAACGCGAAGATCTCTCGTTTCTTCAAAGACTAGGTATGTGAAGAAGTAAACGCGCGAGAGACGGGACATTCCCGTCTCCTCTCGAGAGAATTTCATTACTTCTAATCGCGCTAACGAAGATATCAAATTTTCTGATCGGAAAGCTCTTCCGTCGCGGTAAATTACTCGCAGACAAATTAGTTTTGCGATCCGGTTCGTTTTTTTTTTTTTTTTTTAGCGGGAAATAACAGCGAGAAAAAGAATCAACTGAATCGTGTTTTTTTTTTTTTTTGCCCGACGACATGCAGAGCATACAATACATGAACTGTTCTACATGTACGAATGCGGGACGTGCATACAAACGAATTACGTGCATTCCGTTGCGACCCGTTTGCAAATTTAATTGCGCCAGCTTTCTCTCAATTATTTGTATTCATTCATGATGTTTTCTCAGTGACACTTTGTTTTTGACAACAAAAGCTGAGATGAAACGCACGATCCAATGATCATCAATTTTCCCAAAATCGACAATTTAATAAGATAATGTAAAATAACACGTTGCATCTAGAATTGCGATAAAATATAATAATAGTTATCTACAATTTAAAAGCAAAAGAAAAAAAAATCTGCGATTATTACGCGTAACAATCTACTAATATCTCTGCGAACGTACAAGATAACATGATTAAGATAATTATATATCGCGTCTTGCCAGATGACCGGATGTTAATAAATCTGCTCGGCTAGAAACACGTGTTATCTAGCACGTTAATTACTCTTATCGTCAATTCCTGTTCGATATTCGATATATATTAATGCGCTTTCGCGAATTTCGCTAAGGTGAAATCAAGTCGGTCCACTTAAGTTTTTTTTTTTTTAAGTATGATATAAAGCTAGTATAAAATAAGAAATGATTTGTAACAATTATCAAATATGCGAATCACATAAATTCTTTTCCTTTTGTGCGAAAAATTCAGCAATTTCAACCACGTTTCTCAATTCGAGGATAATAAATAATCTTTAGAAGGTTCACGGGTATTTTTACGGATTCGGAATCCGCGAAATTTTATCCGCACCTTTGGGATACGAAAATCGATACGGGGCGCGTATCAGAAATTGCATGCCGAGCGATGGGAAGGGAATCGTTAGAGCGTCTGAAATAGCTATAGGAAACGTGAATTAGAACGTTCGAGTAGCACGACATGTGATCGATTTGTGTCCAAATTCAGAACTTGATTATTTTAATGTTCGAAAGTGCGATCTTGTCACGAACTATATCTCGTTTTCTCTTAATAATTGTTTTAACAAAACCACGAGGACAAAATATATATTTATTACGAGAAGAAAACTACACGATAATACGGTCGGTGTCAAACACAGCGTCAGTTAGCAGTAGCGTGAGCCACACGAGAACGAGCATAATTAACGTCGGCTCGTCGTCGGCGGGGGTTAAATGGTCAGGGACCTAATAAGCGCGTCGGACAAACGGGCGAAATTACCAACGAAATATCCAGACGGCAATTGCGACGAATTGTACGAATTATACGCAAACGCGCCGATCTCTTCGAGAACTCCCACGCGCGCGCGACAAACGGATCGTTTTTTGCGCGCGAGTATCGAGTTGCACACGTTGAAATCTGGGGCGCGTGCGATAACTCCTTGTTTTTCCGAGAAAATGCTCGGGTTCGCGTACGCTTGTACGTACAAACGTACGTTTTGTTTTTTTTTTCTTTCGCGCGAGAAGTGGCTTTGAAAAGTCAACTCTACGTGCCGCTTTCCTTTCGTCGCGAAGAAACGACGGGAAGAAGAAACACAACGCGCGACGAGCGACTCTTATCGCGTCGCGAGAGAAAGATACTATTCGCATAATGCGATAAATCACATTGGATTTCCGGATGACGATATTTTCACGTTCAGCCTTGTTATCCCGTTTCGAGGAACTAATTAACCTCGTTCCGATTCGAGCTTTGCTCGCCTTAACACTTTTAACTAACCAACACTGCTACCGATCACGGTCGTGTGAGCAGCAGCGCGTTATGCACGCGCGTTGCGCGATAATTTCTGCATTTCGCGGTGAAACGCAATCGACAGGATCGTCATGCACCACGCGTTATCCCGTCACGGTTCGTGAGGGCCGCGCGCGAGCAAATAAGGAGAAAAGAAACATTTCTCCGTAAAAGAAAAAAAAAAACACACAATTACGGCAATAACACAATCGAAAGTTTATCTTCTCCCCGTGTAACACACATCTGTCGGATTTTCTACGAGAAATCTAAGAGAGAAACGAAGAGGAGGAGGAGGAGAAGAAAGCGCGAGAGGAACTTTAAAGTTGTACGGGAATTAGAGCGACATAGAGCCTGCTTTTATCGATCGCGCCCCCTTGGAAAGGGTCTCCCAGTTGATTTAGCAGCGCGATTTCAGGTGCATTCGACAGTGCATCACCGAAGGCCGCGCAACCCAACAACTTATACACGTGCGCGAGAAGCAGAAGGACACGCGTGACACGTGCGCGATCATAAAAGGATATTTGCCGGGGCAAGTTTCGAATCGCGGCGAGGTCACCGTTGTGCGTGTTACTAATATGGCGATATATTTTGGAGTCGAAGCTATTACAGTCTCTGACAACAACCTCTTTTTTTTTTTTTTTTTTTAACGACGGTCGTAAAACGCAGTCATTGAAAACACTAAGTTTAAACTCTACGTACCAATTATATATACATATACATGTATATTTCAAAATAATCCAAGAGAATTTATCATTGAACGTGAGAGAAATGTTCGATAATTATTTTTAATTCAGTCACACTTGATTTACGCAAATAATTTACAATGACTATCATTTTACGCTTCGCTTCACATCAAAAACCAGATAGACAGAGAGAAAGAAGGAGAGAGAGAAAGAGACAGAAGGATTTCAAAAGTCTTACGTATTCGCACGTAACACCTGGCCAACGAGGCCAGGGGAAGTACACAACAAGTTTTTGCTACACACAGTTTTACGTGAACGCAAAAGAAACTCTACAATGCGGGATTTGGCAATATTTCCGAAGCAGAGCTAAAAAAAAAAAAAAAACGAAAACACAAAGTCTATTTTGCAGGACCAAAACTCTCTTGGGGAACGTACAATAACATTGTTGCTTCATGTATAGAATTAGTGTGAAGATTCGCACGCATTGTGTCTTTGTTAAAAAAAAAAAAAAGCGGTAAGCGGTAAGCATTACATCGTGTAATGAGATAACGCGCAGAATATAAATTGCTGCATTATCGAGCGTGCATTAAACACTGGATAAATAAATAAATAAATAAATAAATAAATAAATAAAATACAAACTGTGTTACAAGCGTGCGGTTTTCGACTTTCCAATAACTATATCTTCACCTTGCTCCCAGGATTCGGCGCGTCATTTCTTCACTAAATTCGTCGAAAGCGCGCATATTTTTTTCCACACTTCGACATGTTTTTTATCTCCAAGTTTTCTTATTGTGTTCGTACGTCGTCGTGTAAAACTTGCGTTACCAGTTTGACACAACCAGAGAGAGAGAGAGAGAGAGCGAGAAAAGAAAAGAACTATTTTTTTTAAGTAGCAAATCGCGACTCAGTGTTGCGACTGTGCTGAAAGCGCGCGGTATGTTTCATCACCTTGGCTTCGAAAACTAAATGTATTACGGCGTATGCACGAAGAAGTCTCGTGTGTAAACATGAGTTATCGCACGCAATGTGTCAATAACACGCCGATCGCAACTACCGGACCGGAGAAACGATCGCACGAGAACGGTGTGTCTCTGCCGTTCGTTCCGTTGCCGCAGATTCTCGGCGATTTTGCGAGCGATCCGAACGGGCGAGGGTATGATTCGCGACGCGAGAGCGAGAGCGAGAGCTAATCGCGCGGCGTTGAGAGAAGGACGGGCGGTTTGACTGCGTAAAACCGAGCACGCCGCGCGCGGCGTCTCAGTCGCAACGCCGCGCGCGCGCCGTAAACGCGCGTTGTCATATACGCACGACGAGCACACGAAGGGTATCCCGCATCGTTCTCGCGCGCGTCACAAAAAGACCAAGCCAGGGCCGCTCCCAAGTGTAATAACCGCTCGGTTTAAACGCACGAAAACGACGACGGAGCAACGACTTGTCGTCGTAAAGACCATAGAACGTTGTTCGCAAGGTTGAGGTTAGGAACCATCGACTGTGTGCGGTTTGTGGGTAGTTTTGTCGTAGATACGTGACCAAGCGCGCGCGCGCGCACACACACACACACGTATCGGACTGGGTACACGCGGTTCTAACTGTCAGTTTTCAGCTGGTAAGAAAACATCGGAGCGCCGAGATCTAATGGCGTAACAGCGGCCGTTGTGGACAAACGCACAGCGGAGGGACGAAAGAAAGGAGCAAGCTCTTGCAGTGACGTAAGGTAACGGATCTCTCTTCGCGTAACTTTCGTTGAGCAGTAGAGTGAGTGAGTGAGTGAGAGAAAGAGAGAGAGAAAGAAAGAGAGAGAGGGAGGAAATGCAGTTTTTGGGCATATCGGACAAATTAAAAAAATTTAACGTACATTGATTTATTGTGTCTCGAAAACTTCATATTTTTCATCTCGTTACGAATATATTAAAGTCTTGATGTGATGATATACATACTTTCAAATTGTAACTTGTCAATTTTATCAATTACGCGTTTGTTCGCACGATTTATTTTTAACGCATTCCATCTCGCGTGTAACATGTATCCTGTCGACGCTGTTGTGGCTTTTACTTATTTATTTTTTTTTCCACGAGACGCGCGAAACGTCCTTTGAAAATCGACCGCGTAACCTTGCGCGCGCGCGCGGTCGAACTTTATAAAAACAATGAAATTACTGCGTAATGGAAATATCCATAAAATTCAATGAAAGTCGGTGTTACGCACGCACATCGCATAATAAACGCATGGACGCACTCTCGGACTGTGTGTGGAAAGCGCGATGCGCGAGAGAGAGAGAGAAAAAGAAAGAGAGAGAAAGAGAGACGCGACTGTCTTACTACTACCTGTTATACCGGGGCCCTCCGTTCCCACGGTATTCTCTCGGCTCACGCGTGCGCGCGCTCGCGTATACACACGCGGGTATGTACGAGAAGAAGAAAGAGAAAGAAGGATAAAGGGACGCATCTTGCCGAATATTGTTCGTGTTGTTCGTGACGCGCTCGAGCGCGCTTGCATGCTCCCTCTCCTCCCCCCCCCCCCATATTTGCGCCATATTGTGTTCGGGGAGAGAACCACCGAATATACCTACCGCGATTATTTTTTTTTTTTCTAGAATTTCTACGCCTTGCAGAGGATATTCTCACGTTTCTCCCTCTTTCTCTCTTCGAGATTTACTCGTTGCTACATCTCCCTTCGCTTTATTTTATCGCTGCGTGTCGCACCTCACGCTGCGTCAGCGACGGTAGTAGTCTCTCTCCGTTTCCACGAATGGATTCTACACAGTGATTTCTTCTGATTGTCTCGTCTCTTCTCTTTCCCCGATGAAAATTCTCTTCTCTCTCACCGATAAGCGTTCCATTAGTCAGTCGTTCGGTCGTAATCGGTTTTTTTCCGGGAGAATAAACCTTATCGAGCAGATGTGCGGCTTAAACTTGGCATGCGACGTCGCATCGGTTTCCATTACGACGTTTATAGAGACGTATTTCGTATTGCACGTTTTCGCGCGCTACGTGCACAGAGCCAAGAAACGCGTATCGGGCTTAGAGAGAGAGAGAGAGAGAGAGATTATTCGCGCGTTAAACGTCGCGCGTTCGTTCCTCGCCTCGCGACAAGCAAACCGGCGGCGGCGCGACAACATCTTCGATTATTGTGATAATATAATCCTTTCTTTCGTTCGTCAAGAAAATTTGATCTCGCTGGTCTGTATTTTGTATTCTTTTTTTCTTTTTAATTAGACAAGACTCGATACACAGCTTACAAAAATCTTTACCAAAAGTGGACAAACTCCGGTTTTTTAAATGTTGATTCGTCGATTTACCGATATTATATTAACATAATGCATTGCATCGAAAAATATTGATTGAGAGAGGCCTTAAAATTTCCTCTCTCTCTCTTTCTCTCTCGTAATGGTCAGTCTGCCGCTTGTCGATGCTTTTTCACGGTGTCCGGCCGAATCTCGTTGGACGCGCATCGGAGCGAAGAAGAAGAAGAAGAAGAAGGAGAAGAAGAAGAAGGTGAGTCACGCCGGCTAAAAACCCGTCTAGGGCTTGTTCGCGCGAACAAAACAACAAGGAAACCCTCAGTTCGGTAGAAACGAGAGATAAAAGACGTGTGAGCCGGTGGCCTCCTGCGGTTTGCGCCGGCAGTAGACAGGTTTCGGTAGGTAGTAGGGACAGAGCGTATCTGCATGAACCCCGTGTGAGTCACCGGATTCTAAAAGTAATCGTTGATAAACAGCCTCTTAAGAGCAACAACGATACGACGAGACGACGACTCTCTCTTTCTGTCGGATTCTTTTCGACCTGTGGTTAAAGTCGACGGGCTGATTTTACAAGGAGAAGACCTGGGACCCTTAATCCTACAGAGACTCTCTCTCTCTTTCTCTCTCTCTCTCATCTCTCTCTCTCTCTCTTTCTCTCTCTCTCTCTCATCTCTCGGACAACACCCCCTTTCGGGGTGGACAGGTAGTCTTTAACTCGACCTGGAGGATCGGTTCTCTTTGAGCTCGCTCTCTGCCGGTCCGCGCTTCTCTTCCACATGCAAGACGCAATCGCGTGACCACCTACCCGCTAACTTCGAAATTACCTTCTTGGAAGGAAAGACTCCGGCGTGGTTCCCACATCGACGTGCTCGATCGCCCCTCGCAATCATTTCGGCCCCCGCGGGACCTCTTCGCCCTTTTTGGCAAGTACGCTGAGTTGCGCTTTGTGAGATTACGCCGCGTCTTTACGAGGAAATCCTTTGAACAGATCTCTCTTTTTTTTTTTTTTTTTTCAACGTTGTTCGTAGCCAATGAAGCCAATGAATGTCAGAACAGATAGAAGCAATTTAGCGAATTATTAAAGATCTAGAGAGACAAATCACGCGATCGATACTATATATATATGTATATATCGCGTGATTTGTTGCGCAAGTTCGGGATTTGATTGTCTCTTATAATTCCGTGTGAAATTGTTTGCGAGAAAAATAAATGACGGGCAATATTATATTACGCTTTCATAAAAGCACGCTCGCTATAAAGTTGTTTCAGAATTTACGCTCCGCGCCATTAAGTTGCATTAGTACGCGATACTTTGTTATCCGTATCGTTAAGTCTAACGATCGCGCGTTATTCAGCTTTATGAAGGCGCTTTTAACCGTGGTCGTCATCCGCGCGATGCGGCCGACCTTGGTCCCTCGTTAAAGCTCACGCAAGTGAGTTAGATTTCTATCTATTTGATTTTATTGACAAAGTTGTGTGCTCTGAAATAGACTCGCGGATTTTCCGCACGTCTAAAACAAATACGAGGATAAAGACGAGGATTGAAAAGAAATATTTAGATTTGAAATTGCAATTGCGTCGACGTGTAGACCACCAATGAGAACCACGGGTTTGACGTTCTGAAGAATCCTTTTATCGAACGAGGTAGCAGACGTTTTTGACCATAAGGTCCTTCAAATGATTATAATAATTAAATTAGAATGTGCTGTCAAAAAGAATTAAATCCCTTCACGGACAAACCTCAAAAAATGACTTACGAGTCGGAGACAGACTGGTCTGTGACAGACCCATGTGATTTTAAAAAATCGAATATCTCCGCGAAAAATCAATACTTTTTTTCAATTATGTTTTGTTGAATCGAAAGTTTAAACGATTCTGCGTCGATCAGTAAAAAAAACAACAACAAAATCTCTAGTAGTTATGAAGATGTAAGCGTTTAAAAAATTAATTTTTACTAGAAACACCGATGCGCAATTTTTGAGTGGGTCTGGGAGATCCATGTCTGTCCGTGAAGGGTTAAGAATAAATAAAATGAATTATTCACAATCGTGGTTTTTAAAATTACAATAATAATAGAAAGGTGCACAGTGTTCAAATACGGTCGAAGTCACAATAAAAAAAACTCCCAGACAAGAGAGTTTTAAGCTTTGAACGTCAACAGTTCCAAGGATCAGATAATTGAGACGTACAATAATTTGTATTTCGTTACAATAATTTGTATATACGACGCAGATTCATGATTGATGTTGCCGTTTTAGTTAGGGTCTTAACGTGATGATCAATTCTACTGATTGCCACCGCCTTTATTTCGAGCAGCTCTTCTTCGTCTAACCACATTTTCAAGCAAGAACGTTAGCCGCTTTTTGCGATCGGGGTGATTGTACACGCTCGTTGAAGTGCGATCGTTAATTGCTAGAGACGAGCACGCGAGTTTATCAGCGAGTCGTGCACCTTGCAGAAAACATGTTTTAAATCGAGGATCCGCAGCAATCGAAAATGTCACTCATATAGTTTTTTTTTCCCCGTAGTTTTTGTTTTTAACTAGAAAGTTTTTTTCAATTCCAAAACTACTTGTAGCCCCGAGCAAAAAAAAAACAAAAATAAATAAATAACTCCATCAAAGTTTTTACCAATGTAAAAGAAAAGTTCTTTGTTCTCTACACCATTCGGCCAACACGGATACACAGATATCGACAAATTGAGTTGTGCGAAGTTAAACATCTGCAAATTTTGATACAACTTCTGCGTACATTCATCTGTTCATTCAATTTCTCCACCCACATAGGTTTTTTACCGTATATTCACCAGCATTACAAATATTTATAAAACTCTTGCGGGATTTATTTATTCACAGTTTTTCCATACTTATATTCGTCCTTACTTTTGTTTGTTCATTTTATTTGAACACTCGTGTATCATGATGGAATTAAACTTCTTCCTGTGTGTGCGTGTGTGTATGTGTGTAGCTTCCGGGAAATTTACCTACATTACATAACATACTTTGAAACTGAATTTTGTGGTTTTAGTTTTATTCGAGAAACACACAGGCTACTCGCAACAGTTTCGTTACAGATGTTAAACTCGAAACCACGACTTTCGATTGAGAGTCTAAAACTTATTTCGTTTTAAATCTCAACCGAGATATATAAAAATCTTGGCACTGCCGCTTGGAACTGCCCGACTCGCGCAACACCACCACACTACCTCTCTTGATATATTTTTATTTTCTCTCTATTTTTTTTCTTTTTCTTTTTCTAGTACGTTTTGCTGTATGAATTTGTGTGTCGGTTTCTCTTAAAAACCGCGCAATTCAGATGCAAGTAGACGTTAACGACGAGGAAATGACGGTGGAAAGTCCCCGCGCAATTTTTTTTAATAGTCTCTAATTCCCCCAACGCTTTTCTCGAGAAGAAGCGAAATTGCGTACGTGGGGATTAATGAAGAGCGGCGCTTGAAATATTAACGTGTAAACATCACGATACACGCCCATTAACTACACCTAAATATTTCCCTCGCGTACTGGAATCTTCAGACGATTAATTAACCGCACGTGTGTACATGCGGTAGCCAGAAATGTCTCAAGATACAAGTTTCGTTCTTTTTTTTTTTTCTCGCTCAAAGCGAGTGCGTTAAAAATTCTTAAACGGCGAGAGACAAAAAAAAAAAAAAATCTTGCGACACAAATTAGTGTGAACGGTGTCTCTGAGCATCATATCGCGGACACTCGACGTTTTCTTCTACGAGAGAGCCATGGCTCTCTTTTTCTTTGGCGCGCTTTCATGTCGAGTCACCTGAACGACAAGAAGTGTCACTCGAGACTATAGTGCGGCGGATAACGGTCGAAACGAAAGAGCTTTTCCAAGCTTTTTCGCTTTCGCTCGTTGTTTGTTTAAAGCCGTGTGCGGACAACTTCGCTCGGACAACTCTGTTAAACGCTGATTTGCTTCTTCAGAAATTCTTGCGGCAACGGGACACGAGAAGAAGGTACGAGGAGGAGACGTAAAGTGAGTTAAGGAGCGGCGGTTACTCGGCAAAACTTCTTCCTCACACGCAAGAAAGTCCATCACGTTCCTCGTCTGTCTATATCGGGCGTCGAAACTATCCGTAAACTATTCGTAACTGTGTCACTCGATCGGTCTCTCTCGTCAATCAAGCCGTATAAGTGGAGGCACGTAGTAAATAAAGGGCGTCTGGTTGCGCGCTATATCAATCGGAAGTGACTCCGCGCGCGGTGTATCCGTTCGTATTTTTTTTTCTTTTTTTTTTTTTTCAATTCCAGGACGTGACGCGGCGCGATTAACTGTAAAAATATCGGGGACATCCTAATCTCCCGTGAAACCTCTCTCTCTCTCTCTCTCCGCTGATGGAGATTCGCCGCAGGTGTCTCGCAATTCTTCTTCGAGACGTGCCTTCCTCAGGTGGCATGAATCTTTCATAATGTCTGTCTCTTTCTGCCCCCCTCTCTCTCTCTCTCTTCCTATCTTCTTCTCGCGCACACGCGTCTCCTCTTATCCGCGATATACGGCGGAGTCGCATAGATGCACCTTCACTTTTGCCGAACGAACAGGTACAGCCGATGTCTTTCGAAAGTTCTTCTTCGATATCATCAGCAGACGAATCTGCTGTGAACTCCGGCCTGCGCTTGTGTTCTCGATGTATGTTTTTCTTTCTTCCACGTCTCTCGCCGCACATAGCAAGCTAACGCGCGGCCATAGACACACACTCGCGATTCGCTATTTATGATTCGCATTTACGAAACAGCGCGAATAGAGAAAAAGTTTTATTCGAATTTTTCCTCTTCGCGTTTTATTCACAAATTTTACACACGAATCATGAATCACGAATTGCGAATAAATATGCGAGTAGTCTGTCGCTGACTTCGCTCCTGACTTTACACCCTGCTTCTCGAGCGTGTGTGTCAGACCAGGTTTCCGCAACCTTTCGCGCCGTTGGGTTTTATTAAATCGCGCAAAAGTAATATTTGCCGCGATTATATTACTTCGTTTTCTTCCAGTTCCGCGAGCAGTCTTGGGCACGGTATTACGAATGTGCGCGCGGTATAATTTTCGCTTTTATCTCACTTTTTTTTTTTTTTTTTTTTTTTTTTTTTACTTTCACTCGTATTGTTTCCCCGCCGATTCTCACCTCATTTTTCTAGAATGGCTCATAAATAATTCGCGCTCGTCCGGTTTTCACCTTAACGATCTTATCGTTTAAGATGTGTGCATGCGCGCGCGTATGAACATCCAACGCAGCGCTCGGAGATTAAACGATAAAACCGCGATTCGACAAAAGTGATACTGCTGAGATCACTCCCAACTATGCCGCGTACGCTGTTGCTAACAGAGCGTGTTAACTGTTTTGTTCCGTTTGTTAATCAACTTACCGGGAATGCTACTGGTTGGAACAGAAACGTTTTTCTACATATATATATCTCTCTCTTTCTCTTCTCTTAAGAAACGAGCCAGGAGGAAAACCGGTCGCGAAGAACAATACTGCTCGTTTGCGCCGCTTGTCACTATCACGGCCCCGCTTCATCGAGCCATCCCCTTTGCCTTCTCCCCCTTTGTCTCGCGAGAGATGCCTCCCTCACCTGTAAAACGGCCTTTACAGCCTCTCCCGGTTGTTGTTGGCAAACGGTGAACAAGGCCGACCACTTTGCCGTATGTAACTTTTACTTATTTCTGCGCACCTATATACGTTTCACTCACGGCGTGCATGCTCTCGGCAGCACCATTAATCACGGTTCAAGTTGGTGAGATATTGGGATACCGGTGCGACCGGCGAGTTCGAAGATTAAACGACGAAGGAAACACGTCGCGGTGCGGTTGAGGAAGAAAAAAAACGCGAGAAAAAAACTTCAAGTTTTCGTGACCAAATTATAAATTTTTTATATTTTCCGTGTACTTTCGGTTGAAATGTTTATTTTTTTTTTTTTTTTCTATCCAAAAAAACGCCGCGATCTGAGCAAAATCTAGTACTTTTACCGAACCAGATATAAAGCGATGATTTTTGTCCGGCTAGGTGAAAACCGATGAGAAGTGTGTCGGGTTGAGAAAAAGAAGAGATAGATGTAGAAAATGTCGTGTAATTTTGTACGGAGCGGTAAAACCGCACGTTGACAACGAAACAAATAAATGAATCGACTTCGTGATCGCAACGAATGCGACAGAAATCACGGTATCGTAGGCGTTTCGTTGTAACGACAACAAAAAGCTTCTCGTGCGAGAGAGAAGCCTGTGGGATAGTTTGACAAACGATGTTACGGATAGCTCGCGGATCTCGTGTTTAGCTCAGAAACCGGTCGAACTGGAGCTAAAAGCGGGGAGCGACTCCGAGCACTTTCCCGTTAACTACTTATCCGCTCTAGTTTTTTGCATTCGCGTGATATCGCGTGTAATGCGTGATGTTATAGCTGGTTCTACGAGCCTTATTGCATCTTAAAGCACCCGTGAATCTCTTTCGCATTTGGACACGTGAGCCTCGTCGTTCCACTTTTGCGCCAAAATTCAAAAGAAAACTCATAAATTTATGCATTGGCAATAAGAAAGGAAAAACCGATCGCAAGCAATTTCTCAGAAACTTCTCTTTTTCTCCTCTCGTTTATTGATTCGTCGTACATCGAAAGTTTGCGAGAAAAGATGAAAATAAAGCGCGATGGAGTTTTCTCCACAATTCTGCAAAATGGAGGGGGGAAGTATATGTACGCTCGATAATTGATTGATCTGAAAGAGAAGCTTGTACGTGTGTGTGTGTGTGTTGCGCGCCGTGGTGGCAAGGCGGTACTTACATATTTCATATCGCTTTTCTATTATGTGAAACGTCATTCCTGAATTTTTACCAAGCGTGAAATATCGTAACTGCGGTGTTATTACGAAATCCGCCTACGCGCAGCGCAGCTTTTCTTATACATATATTGCTATTCCGACAAATTACAATACACGGATCTTTGAGAGCGCTTAACAAAAAAAAAACGCGTACAGAACAATAGCTATCGTTGATTGAGTACATTTGCTTCATCTTACACTCGGATTTGGCTTTTTGCTCGAGGCGTGTTTCGAAGTTCAAATAATATGCGGGTTTCTCTGACTTTACGCGAATATTACTCAATTGTAGCGAAGCGATGTTTACATATATATATTGAGTTGATTTGGACACGGATCGGTCCCGCGTAATAACAATAATCTAATAATAATGACACACTAGAACGACTTAATAAAATGCAACTTGGTACACGCTTATCGAACACGCCGCGTGGTTTCACGGTTGACCCGGTGCGCGGTTTCACGCGTTGTTCGGCGCAGTCTCCCGCTTTCACGTTGCGCAAAACATCATTCGGTTCCCCGGACAGTCAACGAACGGCGTTGGCAATTTACGGCTCGCCTTGTTTTTTTTTTTTTTTTTTTTCCTATTCGCGACTTTGGAGAGTGTATTCACAGCTCGTTACGACAAAAAAACTATTTTCGACTATCGCGGACCAATTTGCGATGTCCGCTGTTTTTTTTTTTTTTTTTTTTTTTTCAACTTCGTTTTAACGTTGTTCAATAGTTCTAGTGACATCGCCACTTCGGAACAGTCCCCGCGAGAAACGCACAGCCAATTTAGCACACGCACAAAAGAGCAAAAGTATAATTGCAGAGACCGATTCTTCTTCAAAACACATTAATTGCGATTATAAGTGTGTGTACACAAATGTTGTTATTATATTGTATGTACAGATGTTGTGAACAGATGTTTGAAACGCGAAAACCGGTTCCTTTTTTTCTTTTTTTTCAGAAACCAAACTGGTGGTATCGAAGAGTAACACTAGTGGGGCATAGAAGAGTCGGCCAAGCGAAGGAGAGAAAAGTACTCGCGCGGTCGCATAGAGGAAGTACCGCAAGGCGTGAAAGAGGAAAAGAAAAAGCAGTAAACACACACGAGATGGGTGAGAGACGAGGTACGAAGGCGCTGGAGCTTTGGTGCCGTCGAATTACCGACGGTTATCCGGGTGTAAATGTGCAAAACATGACTACCTCCTGGAGAGACGGACTCGCCTTCTGCGCTATGATTCATCACTTTCGGCCAGATCTCATGTAAGTTCACACGTCGAGTGTATATGTAATCGCTATCGTAACGCGATTGAGCGCGGAAAGATTTTGTTGATAACGCGAACGCGTTGTTTTATCATTCGCTTTCTCTTCGGCGATACTATACTACCGTTTTAAATGATTAAAATTATTTAAACGCAACGCTCGTTCGAGCGCAACGAATTTCCTCACCGCGCGCGCACACGTGTTGTCGGTGTTGCATACTCGTTAATGTATAATTTAGTTCGCAAAATCGTTCTCAATTTCTGGCACGGTTCCAAATTGTCACATTTAAGCTGATTGTCGTGTAAATTAAAGCAATAGAGAGTTGGCTAAGTTCTCGCGCGCTCGCTTCATTGTCTGACTTGGTGTTACGTTTCGTCTTGATTACACACAGTTTGTCGATTCTCGTCGAGAAAATTCGTTGTGCTACGTGAAAGTTTTGTGTCATCTCTCGACGTACAATAAAGACGACGACGAGAATTCTACAAATCTTCGGATTAAGTTCGAAGATTAAATTTTATTCGACGATCTCTCTTTAAATATTCGTTCGCACGAATGTCAAAATACATTTATTGCACGCGTTTCGAGGTATCATTAAAATATTCGAGGATTTCTAGGGATTTTCCGAACAGATGCAAAAATCCAGAAATTCCGACGCATCTCCGACGGGATTGTCTCTTTCGTACAGTAATTCCAGGATTTCGCGTAGCTGTCGCTCGGCGACGAAGGAAGGTCCTTCTAAAAATAGAAGTTCAGTGAATTGACGATCGATAAAGCAACAGCAGCCCGTCATACGGAGGATGTGCCTCGGTGTTTTCGTCGGTGATAACGAAACATAATCAGATATTATGTCATTAGAATCTTCAATTAGAAATCGTATCTTTTATTCGGAAATGTGAGTTTTTTTTTTTTTTTACGTTACGCATGACTCATTTTTTTTTCTCGGATTACGATGTCATACGCAACAACTTGTAACAATTCTTGCGTTGCGTAACTCGTTCCAGTTTGCCGGGAATGTTTAAAATCTGCTTTCTTCGCGAATAAATCAACATCAATTATCAATGTTCGGATTTCACCATTCTTTGCTCTCGATTGTTTTAATTAATTAATTAACACTTTATATTGGTTTTAATTGAATTTATATTGTTTTATAATTGAAGTTTCTTATTATTACGATTGTTTTTCTTGAAGTTACGTTGCGCAAATAAACCACTTCGAAAATAAACTACCAGGTACTGTTACATCGGGAATAATCGCGCGAGATATGTCTCTATCTGACCCTAGCGCTATAAACCAGAGATTTATATCGAAACTAAACACACGCTGCTCACGCACCACTTATTTTCTGTGACACCGTATATACTCTCGCGGAGAATGTAAGTGCGAGTTTTACAATTTTATGCAAGGTTTTGATCTCTTTAGATACGTATGCGCGGAGTCCGTGCGATACTCGTGTAAGAATACGGGTCGTCTGCATACAGGATCGTGTTGATATTTAAGAACAGATCGATGTCTCCGGAGCACTTTATTATATATCACTGTGAAGTTATCATCTCTGATGAAGGGGCAAACTTCAAACAACCTCATTCCGTCTCAACTTTAAACGCTTGCGTAAACTTCGACATTTTGCAATTTTCCTCAAAATAATCCGAAGATTTGATCGTTAATCTTACAAGTAGGGTGAATACGCGGTGTTGTAATATTCGAAGTAAAGAGCGCATTTGCGTTATCTTTTCTTCATTTCAGATAATCAATAAACTGATATAAAAAAAAAAAAAAAAAAAAGATAAACTTGCAAACGGAGAGATTTGATCGTCTTTAATTATTCATGAAGACCGAACGACGTGTACACGTACACGTTTCTTGGCGGACGGTCAAATAAAATGTCTCGTAGTAGATAAACATCGGGTAATTATTGCAAATCGTTCCGGTACGTTGACGCGTCTGAATAAATAATCGCGAGCGGAATAAATTCGTCGTCATGTAAATGCACTCCCAAAAGAATCTTCTTTTGTAACGAAAATAGCTCGCGCGCGCGATTCGGTTCGATTAATTTTTCAATAATTCTTTTTGTCATATTTGACGATGCGAAATGTCGGAAGAAAGCAGGAAGGAGTTCGCGCGGATTTGGAACCGTCGAACCTGAAAATATTCCACAACAAAAGACGTTTTCTCTGTTATAAATCGAGCGACCGTTTTTCAAGAGAGGCGCGCACAGTTCCTGCGTTCGCAAAAATAAAACATTCCCATCGTTTCCTTGTTGTCTGCAAAAAAGCGTCCCGTTCTTTTATCAGTTCTGCCTCACCCGCTCGATAATATCGAGATGGAGGATTAGATTTTTTTTAATTTTTCGTGGTCTGGTGAACGCAATCTGCAGTTTTTCTGTGTCTTTGTAACGGAATAAAGAACATTTCTTTTCAAAAGCAATTTCACGAAGTATGAATATGCACGTTTGAACTATATTTTTGAGAAAAATTGAACCCTTTTTTTGCGAACAAAAAAAACATTTGATTGTACGTCTGAAGATAAAAATCTTTGGAGAGAAGGAGAACTGGTGGCTTTTTCCGGGCATAAGTACTCGAGATTTCACGACGAAGAGAATTCGCTTTTTATCACGGACGGGGATCGCGAACTATTTCTCATCTCTCTTCTCTTATTGTCTCGGCCGGAGTCCGACAAAATCTACTCGGACGTAACGGCGAAGGTAGTAAAGCGGCGAGAAGTTTTCCTTTACTGTGTTTCCGCGGTTCTGAAACGGAATTTTCTTCCTTTCCTTCTCGTCTCTTCGCTCGTTCGTTCGAACTTCGAGGCAAACTTCGTCACTGCGAGTTATTTTAACTCCCTACAAAGGACAAAGGTTCGAGGCCGCGATGCGTATAATGCGTCTTTATAAACTATTGATGTTTTTTTTTTTTTTCACGTATAAAGCGATTGATAATTCAAAGAGGTTGCGACTCGACTCGCGATTTCTTTATTGTCGAAATCCCGCGCCGAGAAGAGAGCCCGGGTGCTCTGTTGTATTCCGGAAGAAATATCACGTGAGAATATCTTGTGTGGATCTCCGACGAGAGGCGCGGGTGAAAGTGAAACCGACAGGTGCGCCTAACCCGAAGATTGGATGAGAATCACGTGGCAAAGAGCAGACCTTTGCGTCTTTGGTGAAATTATCGGAGCTGCATTAAAATTTCACATTGATGCGAGCGTCAGATACGAAGCGAAATTATTAAATCCGGAGGATTTATTTGCGAAAAAAAAACGAAATGACAACTATTGCTTTTCTACACTGTTTGTTAGAACAGTTCAGTTAACGTTATAGTCCATTTACGTCGCGACCTCGCGCGCGATTTCTTTATTTCGACGCGCAGCATCGCAAAAAAAAAAAAAACAAAATAGATTTTTGTCACGGATAAAAACGGATTTCGTTCTCTCGTGAGATATACGCGGCGATTAACGTCCGAGTGGTCCGCAGCGCGGTGAGTATCGTGAAATATCGCCAATAAGCGAAAGACGTGTCAACTCGCTTCTTGTCGGGTTTTTTCTTTGCGGTCGCGATGAAGGGAGATGAAAGAGACGGCGAGAGGACGAGAATGAAAAGAGTGGGTGTGGCACCGATCTGCTGGAGTTCTCTCTGACTCATCGTGACCTCGTCGTCCTGATGACCGCCCGCCGTTTATCAATCACCAAATTTATCACGAGTCAGAAGCAATTGTTAGAAGAAGAGATATTGCGAGAAGAAGCAATATATTTATTATTTGTGTCACGTTATTAGCGTATTTTTGCTGTCTCTCCTCGAAAAAAATGCGCGACCGAAACGATTTGTCTTTTACGGAATTATCGTGAGTTTTATACGCGCCGCTTCGATTTCCGCGCGATTTACGACAGCGATAAAATTGCACAATAACATAGAATTTTTGTGAAATGTACGCGTAAGAGAAACGGGAAAGTGACATTGTGTCGCGTGTGATTTCACGCTCTATATAAATTGTAACAAACATTTAATATCCAAAAGTTGTTATCGTGCCATCAAATCGAGCAGCCGTACATGAGCGCCGATCAAGTGCTCATCTTTCGACCTAGAATTTCAAGTATTACTTGAATCGCCCGATCAGTTATGCACTAGTACGGGCTTTTGTGCTTATCGATTTGCCTAAAAGTGGAACGCTCATAGCTCATCGTATAGGCATTTACGAAAAAGCGGCGCGTAGTATGTTGGAAAAGCGCGCGCACGTGTGTGTGTGTGTGTGTGTGAAGGTAACACCAACTTGACAATGAAATACCATGGTCCCCTTATTAAAGAGTTCCCGCTTTATTTTCAAGAGACCTTAAAAGTTCTATTGTTCATAAAACAAATATTTGAAGAATCATTTTTTTTGTAGATTCATTTTGTTCCAAAGAAAAATTGTTTCGTAGTACGGAGATTAATTCTGACTAGAGAATTGTCGTTTTATATATTTCGAAGCTTTTAAACTCCTCAAGATAAAGCGGGAAATATTATCAGAAATTTACGAAATTTTAATATTGGAGTGCCGCTTCACGTTATAAAAACGGAATGTCTAATAGACGTGCAGACCTGCGATGGAAGCAATAATTATATCCATAAAAAAAGTGCAGAAAAGTGTCAAGATTATTATACAAAAGACGATGGATTAAGTCAGAGATATTTCTCGGACTTTTCTTCCGAGAATTATACGTAAACTCTCTTTTCAGGAGAACTTTGATCCTAAAGCGCATCTCGTTTAAATCCTCCCGAATAGATTTTCAAGAAGATTATAGTGGCGATATTGCAGTTTGATCTCGTCGTCACAAGACTGGCTGCTTATTGCGTGTCATTACATCGACATCAGTTATTTCCAAGATCGGTTTGAAATAACAATGGTTTTACGCAGAGATAATAATATAAACAATTTTTTTTTTTTTTATTTTGCCGGTGGTCTCATCTCGGTCTCCGTTGTTTCTTGCTTTTGTCTTCGAGAGAGTATCGACGTTGAAAAAAAATCTGAAAACTCGGTAACATATTTATCACGTTTTAAGCTTCTTCAAACGTTACGTCATATCCGCTTGCTGTTGTTCGCTTTATTAAGAGAAAATATAATCGTATTCGCGACCATCACCGGGTATCGCTTTAGTAAAGACGGAGCATATTTAATTACGTCGCTTGCAAGTTATTCAGTAGTATTGCGCATTGTGTTGGTTATTTATATTCGTTTTTATGAAGACAGCACAGTATTCTCAGTATTTTCACCACGTACACACCCACAGAGAATCGACAATCTAATTAATTCAAGGAATAATTTTTTCTTTTTTTTTTTTTTTTTACATTTCGCGTCGAATAACCTTCGAATAAATACGGACACGGAGGATGAGAGTACATATTGAAGTGAACAAAAGCGGAGAAGATTAATATTCACTCGCCGGGTGAAAGATAAAAGCAGCGCACAAGGCGGATTAATGAGCGGTATCCCTAAGTCATTCCATTCTTTTTTTTTTTTTTTATTGTTGCAGTGACTTTGACAGCCTTAACAAGAACGATGTGTACGGTAACAACGAGCTGGCTTTCAGAACAGCCGAGCAGCATCTTGGAATTCCTGCTCTTCTGGACGCCGAGGACATGGCGTCCTGCACGGTGCCCGATCGATTGTCCATTCTCACTTATCTGTCGCAATTTTATCAAACCTTTGGAGGTAAGAAAGTTTCTTTTTTTTATAAAGAGTTAAACAAATAATTTTTGTTGCAATATTTGTGTAATGTTTATCATTGTGTGTTAAAAAAAAAATTCTTGTGCATGGTTTTGTGAATATCTTAATTTACTTCATCGGCATTAAGAGGAGTCTGATGTACTGTAGTTTGCATACATTAGATATATATTTATTATATTTATTATAGAAAAACAATGTTTATGTTTTAAAATTCGTCTTAAATATCTCGTTGTGCGAAGAGAGTCATTTCGACGCGAAAAAGTTAATGAAACGTTTACATTTATTTTTTATTCTGTTTTAATCATAATGTCATTTTGTATTTGTACATTATTTATGTGTGTGTTTTCGCCCTTTTAGTTATAATTAACTTCCCTTACTGAAATTATTGATTGGAGTATTCAGAGAACTTTCCGTAGTTGGTTTTTTTTCGCGGTCACATAATTTTGTTCTCGGATCTTATATATTAGAATCTGATCCGAATAAATCCAGATATTTTGCTAGTCTAGTCTCTCTCTCTCTCTCTCTCTCTCTCTCTCTCTCTCTCTCTCTCTCTCGGGGAATAGAACAATTTTCGACACGGGTTTTCTATCTGATTATCGATTGCTCGCTTCTTTCATCGCTCTTCCCTCGACAGCTTTATCGGATATATAGTTGCGATAAAAAAGTACATCAGCCAGATCCTCCTTTTTCGTAAAAAGAGAGCGATTTTTTTGTCGTCGCTAATCTATCTCGGCGCGCGATCATTTTTCTTTTCGATCGATGGAAAATTTTACAGAGAGTGATTATCGCGAGAAAAATCTAATTTCGCGTGATTCACTTTTCGCTCGTCGTGAAAAATACGGTCCGCGATTGAAATGACGGCAATCGATATTTGGGAGCGAGCCGTGTAAATTTGCTTTTACATACATACGTGATCGGATAGCGTTTCCCGGTTAAATGAGCCACGCGACTCTCGCAACGTGTATCTCCACGGCAACACCACGCGTGTTCCGATTTATCGTGCGAGCTGCGACAAAAAAGAAAAAAAAAAAAAACGCTTTTATCGTACTCGTGCATCGCGTTCGCTTTCGAAGTAGAAATCAGGCGAGTCCGATCGACAGACGTTTGAAACGTCGCGATCGCGTTAACATCTCGCGCACATTCGGCACGATTGGAGTTCATTGCTAAATGGGCCACAAATAGTGGTTAGGTCTACACGCCGATCGCGCGCGTGTCAGCGCAATTGGCGACTCTAGCTTTCTCCCCTTTGTGAGATCCCGACGTATCTCTCTCACAATTGTCTCTTCGATTAATATCTCGCGCGCGTTTTGACGTTTGTCGCGGAAGTCGACGCGACAAACGTCATGTATATCACGAACGATTCGCACACAAGGTCTCGGCATCCGTTTCGACAATGTTTATCTCAATTTCGAGATGCGAATATTCGCACTGTCATAAAAAAAAAAAAAAATCCTCTTCCGCGCGCCTGCGGCTTTTTGCGACTTTCAAGGTTTGTTTCTCGGCCATTATTGAGATATATTTGTACTTGATAAATATTATAATTGTTTTTTTTTTTACGTTTTTTTCACTTCACGATATAAATATGATCGAATATTCCTCACTCCAGACTGCCTTGACAATAAAAAAAAAAAAAAAACAATCTGATGTGCGATATCGTACAAAAAGCAAGAACACGCTTTGTGCGTTAAGATGACATTTAATTTGCTCGCTCTTAAGCGTTTCCTTTCTGTGAATCTTAATCATCCATAAGTGTAGTTATCCGATCGCGGGGATAACTTTGAGAATATAACTTGAGTAGCCACTTGTTGAGTAGTTGTCATACACAAGATTTGCATTCTTTTTACGCGTCCTTTTTCGCCGTTTTCATCCCGATCGGAAAATAGCTACTAGTAAGCATCGATCGTTTTACGTTATCGTTTGCAACCACTTGTTGAACGAACGTTGTTGTGCGTCGTCACACAGACGTTGTTGCGAAATTTTTGTTGGTTTTTTTTTTTTTTTTTTTTTTACAATGATACACACCGCGTCACGTTACATTTCCATCTCCGTGAACGCGGTATATCTCTCGCGTGGAAATTTATCTCGCAGTGTTACGTGTTCCATCAAAATTACTCGCTAAAGCTTCGCGTTCGCGATACTGTGGTGAAACGTTTTCTTTCTACCCGGTAAAAGGCAAAGAAAAACATGTATACGCTTTATACGGAGTCGGGGAGAGAGACCGACGTGAATTCTTTGATTGCTATTTCACAGCTACGCTCTTTAAAGCCCGCTGGCGTTTCGTTACGCAAAGTGTCGATCTTATAAGGTGCCCTCTCTTCGTCGTGATTTCTAATTTTCTGCTTCTCCCTCCCTCGCGCGCGATCTCGGCAGTTACCTGAAGGGCGAAGCGCGTCATTTGCCGGATTATTATATTCGCGTATTCCGAGCTTTCTTCACGTGTCGCAGGATGCATGGTGAGGCAATGGCCTGTTAAAAGTTCATCCTTTCCTCAGCTTCTAATTTTATAGATTTCCAAGCTTCTCTCGTAGATTAACCGTCCCGTTAACCTTTGAACGACGGTTAATCTTGATCGTGGAAGACGATTCTTTCCTCGGCCGCGCCGTAAATGCTCACTCGGCTGCAAATTAACGCGATCGTGAGGACCTATCCCGTTTCTGAGATCACTACCTGCAACAAGGAAATTGCCACATTGCTCGGTAGTCCGACGTCCTGTCCCGCTTTATAGCTACATTAGACCGCGCCTGAAACTCGGGAATAGAGTCGGCACTTCTCTCGACGGACGAACGATATAAATGTTGAGCGATGAATTGTTTCTCTTTTTCATATATTTACATTGTTGCAAAAGAGTTAAATAAGTCATAAACGGTGAAAAAAATATCGCACGCAGATATAACGAACAGTTTGATGCAAATGCGCTGAGAGAGAATTAAAACAACTTTTTCCCGTATCGCCTTTTACCGCCTGGTAAAAATGTCAATATTATTTTTATTTCAGATATAAAACGACGTTGCACTCGTTATCACCGTATGTGAAATAAAAAATAATGCGGCGTAACGACGTTGTATTCGTTACCACTGATTGACAAAGTTAATGTGATTTTGAATGGTTTTTCATTTTTTTCACAGAAAGAGCGATGCAACTTTTTAACTTTTTATGTATCGTAATATAATATTGCAAAATGGGAAAAATCATTTTAAATTCTTTAAACTATTTTCTTTTTCGGGTATCTAAAATTATGCTTCACAAAATTCATTGCGTTATAAAAAAAATACAGTACGATGCTTTGAAATATATATTATTAGTATTGCGCATCCCAAATTTTTTTTAAATGTTATTTTTCACTTGCGGTCACATTCTGTTTACAAATCCGGATATTTTTTCCTCTTTTTTTTCTGCGCGCGTGCGCGCGTGGTTATTGTCAATTTTATTGTTGAAACAAAACGTGTTTCCGCTTCGCTTGGACTAATACCGGTCACAATAGCGGTACTTCCAGTTCTCCGTGCATAAATAGTCACGCTACCACAGAAAGTTTTTACAAGACGTTTCATAAACAACAATCAAGTCGTGCTCGAAATTACATTTCGTCTCAAGTTTCGCGCATAAAAAGAAGTAACACACATCTCTTATGTACGAGTAAAATTTAATATACTATATTTAATAATTAAACTTCTTCTCTAAGATTACTTATTTTTTCTAAGAAAGAAACTTATCATTGACAAGATAAAAATCTAAATTGAAAAAAAAAATAATCGGATTATGTTGCAGGCTCGTCACCTAATCGTCTAGCAACGAACAGAACGAACAGCGAGTCGGCCGACGAGAGGATCGCCCCGGTCCCGGAATCTCCTAAGCAAAAGGTACGCCATGTTTACAAATCGGTTAAAACAATCGGGGCAAGACACGCTTTTCGTAACTTTCTTTTGGCCGGCTCTCTTCCTAGTAAAAACGTCATTGTTATGTAATTTTTTTATACATGTAGTTTCATAAGTCATCGCGAGCTTAAAAAAAAACTCCCTCAAGCTTGTCCAGAGCGGAGAACCAATCGCGTTTATGTGCGTAACACGTTGAGTGACGGTATTTAAACTTGCTCAATTGTTCGCAATTTATCTCCGTGCGAAAGCAGGACGAGTTATTTTTACAAGTCGCATTTTTACACCGTTGGTCGCACGTTTTATTATTGTCTATAAATAAGCATATAATATTGCAAAATGTCGGAGACGTCGCTCGCGTAGAGACGACGCAAGCGATCGGACATAAGTCACACTCGCTCGTCGTGTCTTCGGGCACTCAACGTGTTAATCGAGCATTTTTCCTCTGTCTCTCTCTTTCTTTTTTTTTGCCTTTCTGTCTAACCACATATCCGCGCGCTTTCATTGCGAGACTAGTCGACCCACTTAAGCCGTTTGTTGGTTTTTTTTTTCTTTCTTTTAGAGCCGCGCGTACTTTAAGCGACTCTTAAAGAATCCAAGACGGAGATTTTTTTTCTCGAATGTTTACTTCAGAATTGAGTATCTTGAAGAAAGTCGCGCAACGCGTAGAGCGTTCGTTTGAACGAAGGAGCATTTGCTCGTTCGCGCACGCGGTTCACCTTGACATCCGGCGACGTCACCTCGCGGCGCAACAACAGCAATAACAAACGCCATCGTCGCGGTGCGTTTGCGTAATCACGCGCGCATTGTCGACACGCAGGCACACGTTCCCATTTTCCCATCTTTTTTTATATCTGCCCTTTTTCCATTATCTCGCTTAATGACTGGCTGGAAGATGAGAGCGTAGGCGAGAGAGGAGATGGATCTGACGCTCGCGTTCGTCTCGCACACATGCACATCTCGCACGAACGATCAATTTATTATTATTCTTTGTGTCGACTCTGCATTTCTGCGAAATTCATTAATTTCTCTCCCTTGTGTTGAATAATAATAAACGAATATATGTTTTGCGTGTAAAATGTGCGATTACATGTTTTTTTTTTTCTCTCTTTTTTTTGTTTAGCGTTACGTAAAGTACTTAGCAATTCCAGCAGCTTGTGCTTTCTACGGATGCTTAATTGCTTGTAAAAATATTTGAAAGTATACTTCACATATGAAAATCTTGTTCCGACGCAATGTGAAAGTCCATTTTGTTTTGTCGCATATTTGTTGGATATAAGATTTTTACGCATAACATCATCTGCTAGACATTTTTTTTGGGGGGGGGGGGGTTTCTCTACCTAATGAAATTTACATTTTCGACCATTGCGGTCGGATTTTGCGGAACCGTTACGTTATCATTAAACGAGGAAGACGCCAAAGGTCATAAAGCAAACCCGACAAAGAAAACACGCGCGGTTGGCGTGCGCGGTATCTGTCCCGGAGAGATCCATTTAGCCGGTGATTTCGTGGCCGACACAATGACCGCTTCTGTCAGTCATTCCGGTCGCCTCCGTGATTCCGCGGTTCCAGATCCTACCTCGTACTTACCGCTAGACCGACGCGATTATCTTTAATAAGCAAGTCGAGAAGAGTTTTTGCATTAGGCCGATAGTTAGCAAATGTATGAAAAGCAAAACCCGATGAAGCACAACGAAGAAAGCTGATACGTTTTATTTGTTTACATTTGGCATCGTTTCAAACGGAACTCTGGATCGAAAGAAAACTGACGTTCAGACAAAAAGAAAATTCGATTTATTTTAACGTTTTTATATTCGCTAAATTGTCAAACAAAAACATTTTCAACCGAAACTTGTCGGTTAAATTAATTCTTGTGAAAACGACTGCGAGCGGAAATGTTTATTCACGATGTTGATGTAACCTACATCTTGATGGTGTGACCCTGAATTAGTATCATTATCTTCCCACCTCTTACATGTTCTAGCATCTTGTCGAAATAGTATTCCGTGCCTCGGAAAGTAGGATGAAGTGTAAATTTTGCGCCCGATTTTATTTATCGAATTAAACTTTTGCACCAGAAAATGTTTCTTTTTGCGTAAAAAAAGGTGCAATCTAATCGTTTTGATTGCTTGCGATTTGTCGCGCCGCAAATATAAGTAATTACAATCGACACGCGCTCGCAAACACAGGTTTTTCGCTAAATTGAATGATGAGAGAAAAAGAAGATTTCGCGGTTATCTGTGAGTCATTTTTTTTTCTCAAATTTATAGTGACATATCGGGTGCTGTAATTTTACGCGTCAAAAGATACATGTTCGTGTTTGCACTGGTGTGGCAAATTTCTTCAAGGTCCCGGTCGCGCGACACAGCCGGTAGTTGTTCTCTACGTAGTGTTATTTCCAAGCAACCGCGAACTCACAGAAATATCATGCGGCGCGTGTCTAGGTGCAGAAACTCACTAGACTCGAGAAATGTTACTCAAATGACTTGAGGCAGAAGTCACGCGAGCGTAGGTCAGATTCTGTTGCGAAGTTATGACAATTCCGGGTGACAACGGGTAAGACCGACATAATGGCAAAGTTCGAATGTCAACGAGACGAAAATTGTACAATGTGCATATTACGTAAGTTTGCTAGATTGTTTCCGAAATACGTGTGTGTGTGTGTGTAACTATATATATATATACATATATTCCTTTCCTCTACCTCCTCCTTTTCTTCTTCTTTCTCTCTCTCTCTCTCTCTCGCGCTAAATTTCTTTTATCTCGAACGTTGTCGAGACACCACCGAAATTCTATTTTGCTCGAGAATTTTATCGATCAAATTGCGCGGCAACCACACATATATACCCACTGGTGGTGTTCAAAAGTCTGCATTTTCGAAAATACACTCGTTAGAGATTAACAGCGTTCACGAACAATTCAGCGTTTCTGTTCCAAGTGCAAAAAATTTTTGTTACTTAGTCCATATAACACGGCGTGTCATATTGCGATGATAAATAAATTTTTACTTGACAATGACTAAATAAGTATTACGCATTACACCAGTTTTCCTTTTCACACAGTGTATTCAATACAACATGAAACTTGCATTTAGGACAGATTTCTGATTGATCGTGCGGTTATTATGCGCTATACAACGCTGACTTTTACGCCATGCATATATCCTCGTCTGACCTACAAAGTTGACAAAAGATTTAGGTAAGAGATACGTGTTTTAAGCACGTATTTTTTTTTCGTAAGAAAATTGTTACAGTAGCAAAAATCTTTCGTTCGTACTTTACATTTGTTTATTTCTTTTTTTCAATTACAAAAAAAAAATCAATGAATCGTGAAATGCAATTTTTTTTCGGAACTGAAAAGTGTAAATAAATTTTCAAGTTAAATTTCAACTAATTTTATTTTGCCGAGCCGATTATCTCGACTCCTGCGATCGCACGTTAGCTCCGAAAGCGAATAATCGACGAGTTATGTACACGTCAACGTGTAACCATGTTCGCGTGGGTCGAATTTTGTTCATTACGGTTCGCGCATTGCCATTCGTTGCATTTTAAAACCAACACGCGTCAGTCACGCGACAGACTGGTGAGCTCGTACAACGGACAAACGTTGGTTTGGCCGGTGTTAAACTGGAAAATCGAGTTTTCTCTAAAAAAAAAAAGAAACAAAAGTCGCTCGGCGGATTATCCGCGAAGTAAAGCGAAGAAACGCAAGTTATAGGGTACAGCGTAAGTATATGATAAAACGTACGCGAGAATACGATACGCGTTCTAAAATCAAAAACTGTCTCTGGGAACTGTCGCTCGTCTCTTCGCATTGATACGTATGTGTCAACCCATCCTTTCTTATCGTTTATTTTTGTTCTCCAGGAGGAAAGCTTGGACTTAATGGGGCAATATAAACCTGAAATATTCTGCTAGAAGGTAATTTTGCTTTGTCGTTTATTGTTTTGCTTGTCTTTTGTTGAAAAGAACCGTTGTTGTTGGAACAATTGCATGCCTGGTATACATACGCTTCGAATCGCACACACTTGCTCGTTGCACGATAATCGCTCGAAGACGGCACCGCGTGATTTGTGCGAAAGACAAAAAAAAAAAAAAATCGTAAAGTTAAAAAAAAAATCAAACAAATAACAAATTTGCAAAGTTAACTTGGTGCTCGTCGTACGTGTGAAGTGGCATGTTATTCCTCGTGGAAATTATTGCATTTCCTTGTGTCATGCTAAGTAACAAACGACATTGACAAATGCGCTGCGGCGGTTATATGGAGCTACGTTGCCCAGTCATTGAATCCTGTTTGTTTGTGTTTTACTTTTACGGATAATAATTTCACGTCACGTTCCGTGAAAATATTTTCCGGTGCGCTCGCGCGCACACACACGCACAGTAGTGTGTCGTCGAAAAATCTGTAATTCAGTTGAAATGAAAAAAGCCATGTGAAAATATCTTCTATCGATCTCACCGGTCGGTGTTGCCGATGGCCAGAGAGCGCCTTGCACATTTCCAGACCAGTAGTCGGCCATCGATCTCGTCGCGCTTCGCCATGGCTCTCTGATAGACAGCGGTCGATGGAGCTTGGCCAATAAATCTCGACACCGGAAACGGCCATCCGATATCGTACGGGACGATCGTCTGTCACGTGCCATTTTGGAATCGAAGAAAGAAAGGAAAAACTTTTCTCGTAACGCTGTCGCGCATTTTTCAAAAAGAAAAAAAAAAAAAAGAAAGTAAGAAAGAAAGAAAGAAAGAAATAACTCAACAGTTCATGTTTAAGTCCCGATGTAAAGTTTACACGTTACAAAATGTAGTAAACATCGTGGAAAGCAATTAATCATGAGCGTGTGGAGACTCGCCGGAGCGCAACGTTCTATTTATATGTCATTGCTACTCATTGCATGTATTCGACGCACGCACGCACGCACGCACGCACGCACGTACGCGCGCGCACTCACGCAATAGAAATCGGACGCGCGCGGTCAGCAGCCTCTCCACCGTTCTACGAGTTCCATACAGTCGTAACGTTTCTCGTGTCCGTTTCCCGTCGTGCGAGAGAGACTACGAAGAAAAAACGGTAAGAAAAAAAAATCGTCGAAAATTCGCTTTCTCCGATGCATCGATGTTTGTTCGTTTCAGGAGAGGGGAGAATCTTTAATCAAGTTTTATAATCTTATAATAAAAAATTAACTCTCTCTCTCTCTCTCTCTCTTTAATGGTTTTACGCGAGATTTTACGAAAAGAGAAAGAAAAAAAAAAAATTGAAACGAAATGTCTCACGATAGAATTTAACGCGAGATCGGGCGACCGTTTTATTGAATGTTAATAACGCCGATAGAAAGAAAGTTGATTATAACGTCGATTTAATAACGTCGTCACATTTACCCGCCAATCACGTTCATTAATCGCGCATCTAACGAAAATCGATATCTCGACTCGATATGTACACTCGCGATGCGTGTTGTATATCTGCACTCTCGCGATAATCGTCAATCGGCTGCTTTTAACCGGTGCGATCCGCTTAATAAACATAATCACAATATAAAAGTACCAATAACACATCGATTATTAAGTCCATATAATCGCGCAATAATCTATTTATACACAAAGAGAAAGCGATTGCAATAGAAATCACGAAGCGAGGTTTCTTGGTTTATTATTATTATTTTTTTTTTTTTTTTTTCGTTGTTGCGCTAACCCGCGCGCGATCGATTGCCGCTTTATTTAACCGCCTATGGAAAACTTATGCACGTGGCGTTGATGAAAGTTTAATGAAGATCGATTTTGCGGTTAGCAACCTATCATCCGTGCGATTTTTCAGCGAGGAGAAAATTAATACGCGATTTCGTTCGCTTTTGTTCTTTACGAACGGACGATACGGGCGGGTAGGGGCTCGGAGAGATATATCAAGGCTCTTACCGGTCATTACTCACCCCGTTGTTTAATTAAATCAGTTTTTCTCCAAGTGTTCCATTTACATGAGCGTTTACACGCGCAATAAATGATTAATTTAATCTCGAGTGATTACGCTTTATGGAAATCTCGCTCCAGCGGGTTTTTTTTTCAAATTTTACGTACCGGAGTGTTTTTTTCTTGTTTTGTTTTTTTTTGTTTTTTGTTTTTTTTTTTTTTTTACATGTGTCTGGCAAAGCACGCGTTCGCGAAACAAAAAACTGTGTTACGTTACGATGCGATGGCGTGAAAAATTGAAAGAAATTGTCGAAAAAATAATTCATCAGAAATCAATCTCGTCATTTCTTTCGGAACACTTTACACATTCACGCTCATTTCACTCTCTTCCGCGTTAAAAAATTTAACGTGGCATGTCCTCTGGTCGATTCCGATTTGTAAAGCAAATATCCTCGTTATATTGCGATCATGTGATATATACCTGCCGTGTATATATATATATACGGCCGGTATATGTTCTCTCTCTCTGTGGAAGCTACACCGATTCAATGTGTTATTGGATACGCCGGACACAGACTAGAGAGATGCATATTGCGATAATATACGGAGAGAGATGTATACGGCCGGCGGCTATTGTGAAAATTCGCCAGCTGTGTAAAAGCTGCAAACGGGCGACACGAGAAGCTCCGATATTCAATGGCGCGTTCACAATTGCAACCTAGCATTTGCCGCGATATTTATCTCCGACTCTAATATTACTTTCTTCTAACCGGTCAGATCATTTGATAAAATATTTAGCGGTGTGTGCGTATAATTTAGAAAGAGAGACGTACGAGAGTTTGTTTTTCAATTTTTAGAAATAGATCTATATCTCACACACGTACGTGTAAAAACGTACGACGAGTGTGTGTCCAAGTAATTTATTATTATCTCCGTTAAACTAGTGGTGGTGGTGGTCTAATATACATATGTGTATATATATAGCGCGTGCGCTTCACTTATATTACTAACCGAGGAATGCTTGTGGAAGCGAGATGAAAGAACAATGGCGATAACCTTCGACGTGTGTCCGATCCTGATAACGTAGGTGGGGTCGCGTCTGGGGATGCGGAGGGATCCGTGCGTCGCATGCGGAATGCCGGTTTTCCTGGCGGAGAAATTGCTGATAGCGCGGGCTCCTTATCACCGTACCTGCTTCCGGTGCGCCCGCTGCAGCAACCAGCTGACGCCGGGAAACTATTACGAGACCGAGGAGGGCCAGTACTGCTGCGAGACGTGTCCGGACGAGGAGGAACTCGCTGACGTTCGTCACAAGTACACCGAGCCAGCGGCGATGTCCGGCGCGGAACGAGAAGAGAACGAACTGCCGAGACCTCTCAGCGACGAGGAGAAGGAGAGAAAGGTCAGTTGTGTGAGATTTCGCGCGCGCGTGTTAGAAAAAAAAAAAAAAAATCAAATAACAAAGTTTTTTTTCTTGTATATATATATACAGGGTGCAAGGAATCTACTTGAGAGCACTGCGGTGCCCGACGTAATATCCCACACATTGCAAATGCGCAAGAACTTCATGGCCAATCATCTTCTTTCCGAGAAAGTCGAAGAGTCCACCGTCGTGAAAGACGACATGTCCGCAAGTACGAATGACCTTGAAGTTAATTCTGATTACCTTGAAGAAGCGAAGAGCAGAATCGGTTCGGCATTCCCAGACGACGACGAGAACGAGGAGGACGAGGAGGAGGAAGAGGAGGAGGAGGATGAGGAGGAAGAGGAAGAGGAGTCCCGCAGCTCTGCAACGGATTCTCCCGAAGTGGAGTCCAACATTGAGCAGCAATTCGATGTACATAGCGCACTAAATAGCTTAAATATTAAGAGCGATGAGAATCAGCGATCAACTGCCATTTCACTTCATGACGTAGATAAGAGAAAAGAAGAGAATACCAAAGAGTTGCCAGAAAACGATGAACGAGCTGCTAATCCCGAGATAAAATTGTCCTTGGTGCAGAAGAGACTCCAAATGTTCGAGTCTCGGAACAAGATAGGGCATATTGATAGAAAAGATCAAGATAAGAGAAGAATTTTGATTCAAGATATCGCCGTAGATAAAATCGATTCCCAAGATCTGGCGTCCCAAGATGTTCTTCAAGCGAACAAGAAAGAACGTTCGGAAAAGAAACTTGAGGAAGACTCGATGATGATTAAAAGTACGGATAACCGTGAAAATAGCATCGAAAGCGTGAGCAAACAGTCCGTGGAAAATACTTTGAAAATTACAAATATCGAGAAACACGAAGAAAGCATAAAAGATATTGAGGATAATATCAATACTGTACAGCCTGAGGAAAGTTCAGATATCACAAGTAGCGAAAGAGAAGATTTCTCCAAGCTCGAGGAAAAATTCAGAAAAGATAGCGAGAATCTTCATGAGGAGGTTGCTACAGGAAATAGCGTATTGACCGCAAAACCCATTGATTTAAGTGAAGAAGGTAACAAGGATTATCCTGAGGACTTGAATCCCTTCAAGAGCGACGAAGAAGATAGCGTCATGGATAATACTCCGCACAATACAATAACCAGTTCTACGATTAGCAAAGTGTCGACCAATCCATTCGACAGCGAGGACGAAGATATCGAAGAATCTAAACCGCCGAAACCGGCAACCAGGAGCAAATCGGAAAATCGAAGAGTTTTAGCCGAAATGCCCGTGACCAATCGAATTTTGTTTGGGTCACAAAGTAATGTTGATTCTTCTTGGAGCGATAAAAAAGATAGCAGCATCCGTAGCAATCCGCATACTGTAATAAACAGTTCTAAAGACAGCAAAGTGTCGACCAATCCCTTCGACAGCGAGGATGAAGATATCGAAGAACCCGAACCGCCTAAACCGGCAGCTCGAAGCAAACCGGAGAATCGGGGAATCGCGACATCTGGAACCAAGCGAGTTCTGGCTGCACCACAAATTAATCTTGATTCGTTTTGGAGCGACGAGGAAGAGGAACATAGTGACGAAGCAGGGGAGCAAAACAGAACGCCGCAAGGAAGCGTGCCCGTTCCGAAACCGCGTACCATTAAGTAAGTTTGTATGTCATTTCTAAGAGTAGTGTGTGTGTGTTATATATGTGCAAAAGCAAATCATAAATGTTTTTATTGTTTGTGAACAGAACTACTCCCGAGACGAGCACTATTTCAAGAAGAGCTGACTTAAGTCGTGGAAGCGTATACGCGTCTAATAGTTCTTTAGCCAGTTTCGAATCAACCACGACTCCCGGCGGAACGTACAGGAAGAAAAGACCCGCGCCTCAGCCGCCGGCTGCGAAAGAACTGTTTCCATCCGATCAGCGCGAGTCGCCTAACAAGTCATGCAACACTTCATTAACCTTGGATCAAGTATGTCTTTTTTTTTTTATAACATATCTTTATTTTTTGTCTCACTTTGTAAAAATATTCACGTGATCTTACATTTAACTTTTGTTTTTTTTTTTTTATTCAATCAAGACCTCGTCACCCCGAACAACATTGCGACCTCGAAAAAGCAAGCCGGCTCCTCCACCGCCAGTAATTTCCAGTACACCTTGCAACGTGTCGACAGACAGTACCAATTTCAATTTCGATGTATCTCCCATAATCAAGCTTCGCGGTACCAAAGATGATCAGAATATATGGGAAGATCAAAAAACCAACAAGGACGAGGCGAATCGTAATAGACAGAGTTTGAGCGGAAACTCGTGCGATGATAGTCTCAAGTCTTATAACGACAAAAGCGTGCAAGGAAAATGGAAGAGAAAGAAGGGTCCCGCCCCGCCACGGCCAATTCCGCATAGAAGAAAGGTAAGGAAATTCTTTTTTTTTTTTTTTGTTTTTTCGAGCAAAATTAATATAACATGTGAACGCATTTGCGCACACGTTGCACGCGCCTCTTGTGCAAATTAAAAAAAAAAAAAAAAAAAAATGCGGCAAATTGTGTAAATTTAATTACAGATAAAAGTGTTATCCATGAAAGACGTAAAATTGGAATTAGATGAAATAGAATTACAACAGCAAGGTTTGGAGAGACAAGGTGTACGATTGGAACAGATGATACGAGATAAATGCGAATCTGGATCTAGAATTGAAGGTGAGACATATGTATATGATAATATATACGAACACACGCTACATCATTACAAAGATATATGTAATAAAACAATTAATCTTTGATTGATAGACTCACTCAGCACAGACGTGGAGGAATTGGTTTTAGAATTATTTGCATTGGTGAATGAAAAAAACGAACTATTTAGAAGACAGGCCGAGTTAATCTTGTTGCGGCGACAACAAAGATTAGAAGAGGAGCATGCCGAAGTAGAGTATCAGATACGATGTCTCATGTGTCAGCCAGAAGCTACTAAAACAGACTTCGACAAACAGAGAGAAGAAGCATTAATACAAAGGTATAATTCTAGAAAAATATTTTTTCTTCTTATTTATGTTTATCGGACATTTATATATACAAAACTAACATCGGACAAATGAAGCGTAAACAAACGATATTAATGGGTTCTCTCTAGGTTGGTGCAAATAGTCGAAAGAAGGAACGAAATCGTCGAATGCTTGGAAATAGATCGTCGAAGAGAAGTAGAAGAGGATAAGAGTATAAACAAGTATATGGGATTATTTGCTGGTAAGGCAAAAATTAACAAGACGATATGTTTTATTAAAATGTAAATTTGAACTTTTTGTAGTAATAATTGTCTTTGTTTTCAGCGAGAAATAAGAATAAACAATCGGACAAGAACAACGATTCTTCTAGTACAGAGAAAACAAAGAAGGGAAAAGTGAAAGAGAAAGTGAAGGAAAAAAAGTCAAAAAAGACTACAAAAAAGGATGCTGACAAGGATGTTGACGAGACTGAGATGAAACTCAAGCGCCATAATAAACGAAAATGGTTCTGAGTTGTATAACAATGTTAATATATTATAAAAATATTATACGTATTTAATACTTTTATACATATTTTTAACATGTGTTATTTATATCTGTAAGAGAGTTTACGCGCTTAGATTATTAATAAGATTGTCCACACATCTCCACTTGCTCCTACCTTCCAAGTCCAAATTATTGTACAAATTGTTGTTAATTAACTAACTGCAGATAAGGAATAATAATGTGAAGCAATAACACTGATTCAGGGAACAGAAATAATGTTAAGTATTCTGAAAAATCCTCAATATTCGAACAGGCGAGTCAATTGATTGTATTGATGCTATCCGCTTTGGTGGAATACACTCCTCAAAAGTGAGATTACAATTTCCTAAAATAAAAACGAGTTTTTTTTATCTTTTGTCACTTGAATAGTTTTCTTATGTCAGAGTTTTTTTCTTTACTACAGTGCAACAAATAATGCCACAAGATACCTAATTGATCCAAAAATTGCGAAACAGTGTCTTCATTACGAACTGTCGCAGCAATCACGGCACAATTGTTTGATGTCAGAAGATTTTTTAATCCCAGTATTAACGAGTCAAATGAACTGCTCTCGTAGAGAATATCAGCACCGATAATTACATCAGGCTGTGATGAAGTCTCTTTTATATATTTACCAATGTCTTCCCATTTTAATTCTACTACTCGAATATCAGTATGTTCATAGCTCAACTGCAATTTCGGCAGTGATGTCACATCGCAAACATTTAGTAGCTTACATTGTTTGTGGGATAAAAGATTCAGTTTTATATTCTCACAGAGCATACGGAGTACTTCTTGATGACCGTCAGAAAAAACATACTGTTTCGGAGAGCATGTGCTAATAATGCTGATGCCAGCTAAGCCGACTCCACAACCAAGTTCTAGTACAGTTTTTCCAGAAAAGTAGTCTATATTTTTTGCACACCATTTGCTCAATACTAAAGCACCCTAAATAAAATCATCTTGTTCGATTGCAATATAATATATATTTTATCCCTAATATATATATCAACTTGTTGAACAATTTTGTAAAACAATTTGTGTGAACATATCTAATAATAGAAATATATTGAAAAAATAAGCATACCTGCCAACTGCACAAACCTGTAGTACCGTTAGAAATTATATTTGTACTTTCTTTCAGTGTAACGCAATTTAATGATCCATTTTCTATTAAAAAGTGGCGATAATGTACAGATTCTTCATCAGATATTGATACTAATCTACAATATGCTATGTATAAGTCATCATGAATTTCATTACCACTTTTCTCTATCTGTATGAACCAGCAGTAATATAAAGAAAGAAACAAATTTTGTACTTTTTAGTTTTTGTGTAGAATCAATAATACTTGAATTAATTGCAAATGTACCTTTTCCATAAGTAATTTTAAAAATGCTCTCTGATACGACACTTTTAGTGGATACCGCTTAACCAAGTCGCTATTTATTGTGTTATCTAAAATTTGCTTTTGAATATTCACAGTGAGAGAACAATTTTCATATTCGTCCTGCAAGATGTGTGTATTCTCTATATATAAATTGTCAACAATCATGCAAATATCGATTACGTTCAAAAATTTACGTACCGTAAAATCCAATTTTGTTAGCGCGGTACAGCAAAGAAACTGCTTCGTTAAAGAATTCATATTGGATTATATTCAATTTAATTGTGTCCCACTATGTGTATAATTTTCTTCTTTTTATAAACGTGCGATTGATTGAGGTTGAGTTCTCGCCAAGATGGCGAACAATTTACTGTCTTAATTTTTTATCAAGTTGCAATCAGCTGAGATCTCCCTTTTGTTCTGCCCTCAGTCGATAACGGGTTAAGGGAACCGTCGTTTAAAGAGCCAAGAACGGGAGCAGGGATGCGAACAAGGAAGTCTAGACAATAGATACACATATGTCAGTAGCCTCGACCACTTTGTTGGAGCCGAGGTGTACTAGACCGGTTTCCTTGTGTTTGATCAATCCGTTCCACACAACACAAATTTATTCACATTATATGTGTACATATTTATATGTACATAAGTGTTAGATATGTATTATGATTTTATATTGATTGCAAAAGATCAATTATACCGACGGCAAATATGCATTGTTCCTCGAGATCCTTACAGAAGTTTGAATATCTTACGATATACGGCAGCACTAAAAGCGTCCTCATTTTACACGGACGCTCTCCGCTCTCTTCGATACTCTTCAGTTCTCTCTCCTCTTCCTGCATTCAACCAATTTCTCTTGGATCGCAAAATTCTAGCGTTTGTTTGCTGCATTTTGCGATATATCAACTATGGACGACGTTCTCGAAAGCTGGGAACAAATAGAGGAATCTGGTGTAAGAGGAATTTAACATTTCATTTTTCATATTTATATCTAGATTTGTACCCAAAGCAACTCTCTGTTGCTTAACCTATAAGAACTCCCTCAAGTGCAGATTTCTTAAAATCTTGCATGATGGAGAAACTATTGCAATTGATTATTTTATGTTCTGTTGGCACTTGGTCATGTCTATCGTTTTACCATTTGTTTATACAGTGAGTCATGTTACTATAAAGACATTCGTGAAATATGAGAAAGTGAGTGTTTGTGTAAAAAAAAAGACAAATATGGTTGTAGTCAAACTAATTTAAAATTTTATTATTTATTTTTAGAAATAATGTAATTGTTAAAAAAAATCAGTATAATATAAAATCATGGTTCATGTTTTTAGACACTCGATAAAAGACTGGAAGCTCTTCAACTGAATGCAGTACAAGAAGAAATAGAATCCTCTAGGTTATTACATAAATATTCTTACTAATTTTTTAATGTTTATTTTCCAGATATAGTTTTAGAGATATGTTGCTATTATGTGATTTATCTCTTGCTATATATTGAGATGTGTGTATGTATATATAAATAAACTTGTTTGCTTTAGAACTACTCCTAATTCAAACACAAAAATAATTATACTGGGAGAAGATGGCCTGAGATCTCAATATGTACCACCACAACCTACTGTAAAAATATTAAAAAGGCCAACTGGAGACTCTCGAGGAAGTGGCGATGGACCACTGAATGATGATAAACCAAAGCAACCAATTAAATCTCTCAAGCAGGTATACAACTGCTTCACTTGTGTGTTTCACTGTTTATCCTTTCAGTTGTGGTAATATATTGTGTGTTATGACACAAAATATAATTTTAGAGAGAACAAGAATATGCGGAAGCAAGAAAGAGAATCTTAGGAGAAGAAAAAAGTCCAGAAGAAAAAATGACACAAGAAATTAATAGAATTCAACCAAAATCAAGTACACCGAATTGTGGAAACTTACCTAGCAATGTAGTTCGATCGCCTACCGGTCCGGACGGCACCCGAGGTTTCAACGTACGTAGGTAGCGCGTCTTTCAGAGATCAACTTTTTCCACCTATATTTTTTTCCTTCTTTTTTGCTACAAAGAAGGAAAACGGCTATGAGGCCGAAAGCACAGAACAGCTTTGCGCTCTCGAATGAAATGAGCGGAACATCCTTCAAGTCGTGCCCAGCGCATTGTTATTCTGCAAGGGCTTATAGATTTAAGAAACATAGACTTATCAAAATGAAAAACAAAACGTCTTACAACATTCTAAGACGTAACATTAAACGGAGGAGAGAGAGATAGAAGAGTATTTGCTTGATTATAAATACTGTTTGGTGCTTACGTGCGGTGATACGCACATGTGAACCAAAGTTATGTGCATATATATCTGTAAACCAGAGAGAGAGAGAGAGAGTTAAAGTTTAAGATGAACGAGACAACACCGAATTCACCTGTATATAAAAAACGGAATTCGTTTCACACACATGCATATTCACATACTTCTATACCATTGCCATCTCTATAAAGTGTAATAAAAAGAATATCCTGTATATATATGTATACAACTCAAATGTATGTAATGTGTTGTATTTTGTTATTAAAAAAACAAAGATATCTTTAAAAAAAATCTTTTACCCATTTGTAATACACGCCAATTGATATATGAAAGCTAAAATATTTTATATACAATTTTTGTATTTTTCAATGTTTCACTTTCGCTGTTAAACATTTTGCTTTATTATTCTGAATCATACAACTAGAGCACTTAGCGCGAAACAGGGAGAGAACATAGTGATGATTCATTGCGATTATTTAACTAAACGATGCATAATATGCGGGACATCGTTAATAACGAACCGAAACAGTTTAAACTGACTCACTCTAAATGTATATCTTGGGTGAGTTTTATGAAACGAATTTTAAAAAATAATAAAATAAATAGTTATACATCAATCGCGCACGTAAAAGTTTTTCTGAAAATGAAAATATATTTTGCGTGTGCGTTATGTATTTGTTTACGTGTCATAAAAACCACATGGTCGAGAGATAAATGGTTTCGTTGCTCACAGATTAGAAAATCACTGTTTACACGGTGATAATAGAGCTGCATTATAATATATAATAGATTATTGATGAACAATGAATTATTTTTATACAAGTTTTTTGAAAAATATATTTTGCGGAGACAAAACATTTACTTTTATTTTTCTTAATAAAAATAAATGTAAAAAAAAAAAACACGCAATAAATATTTTGAGTCTTTTTTCTTTTTTAAGACTGCGCCGTGTTAAAAAAATTACGAAAAATAAATAAACAAAAATAAAGACTAAAAATATAAAATCCTACATAAAGCGAATATATTCGGGTCGTGTGTTGCGAAATAATGACACTATAAATAATATAAAAAAATATCAGAAATAAAGTTTTGACTGCTTGTGTTGGTAGCCATTACACACCCGAGGTGATGCGATAACGTTGTATATATAATGCGTCATGGCGCATGTCAAATCACATCTACCGCTATCAGTGTCAGTTCATCCGTCTGTGAGAAGGTGTCTTTCACAGTGAAATGATGTTCGCGAGTTGTCTGTGGAAATAAATACTCGAAACTTGTCGCGGCATTGTTTCAATCGAAAGCGCGAGGATGGCGGAATCGAACGGTCCAATTCTTCATGTTATCGTGGTTGGATTTCATCATAAAAAAGGCTGCCAGGTAGCTCCAGTGATTAACCTATCTCCTGCATTCGCATTCTGATTCCACTTTGATCTTGTTATTATCGTCAAATGTCACTTTTCAGGTAGAATATTCGTTTCCACCTTTAGTACCTGGTGCTCCAAACGAGTGTCCCTTGGGATGGAAATATTTGCCTACGCTCGCTTTGCCAGACGGTTCTCATAACTATGATGAAGATACAGTTTACTTCCATTTACCTAGTCTTAGCGATCCAAAACAGACGATATATGGAATCTCATGTTTTCGGCAAATACCTGTAGAGGTATTTTATAAAACAAAAAACATTCTGTTATTTCAAGTTTATGTTTTATATAGTGCACTGAGTGTTACATGTGTTCACAGAAATTGAAAAATCGCACATCTGATATAACAAGAGGTACTGTACAAAAATCAGTTTGTGTGCTAAGTACCTTGCCTTTGTACGGACATATTCAAGTGAAAATGGCCCTTATAACACATGCATATTTTGAGGAAGGAGATTTTAGTAAAGTGTCTTTACTAGAAGATACTTATCATCATCTTAATTCATGCATGAGTGGCGATAGTCAAATACCACCGCAAATCTTTGTTGGTAATGTAGATTTAGTTTTTATATACTGTGAAAAATTATATGTATATACAGGGTGTCCCGTAATTGTCGTCTCACCGCTTGTAAGCAGGTAGAAGGGGTTATTCTAAGACAAAAAGTCCTATACCACTTTGGAAGATTCGCAATAATTAACGAAATATTAATTAAATAAAGATCCGCTAATCAGGGTGCATCCAGCGTAAGGACCTAACCCAGTCTATCGCGGGACTGTCCTTACGCTGGATGCACGCTGATTAGCGGATCTTTATTAATTAATATCTCGTTAATTATTGCGAATCTTCCAAAGTGGTATAGAACTTTTTGTCTTAGAATAACCCCTTCTACGTGCCTACTAGCGGTGAGACGGCAATTACGGGACACCCTGTATATATATTTTAGAGAGTGCATAAGAGCTATAGATATAAACTATGCGTATAAACTAAAAGACTAATATAACTTACAATAATTTTTTTTAATCATTTTGTATAGTTTGATAGAATTTCAAATTTTACTTTTTTATATAAACAAGGCTTATTTAAAAGATGTTAAAAGATAAGTGGTGTCTGAATAGAGAGAGCTAATAAGGACAACTATTTCAAAAACAAAAGATTAGATTAGATTTCTTATAACTAAGTATGTAAAATAATTAGAATATATATTAAGATCTATTTTATCTATTTGGATCTTCTAATGCTTATTATAATTTTGTTACAGGTTTGTCAGCAAGAGATTTTATATTGCAGTTTCGCCACAAAGTATTGCTCTTATTTAAATTACTTTTGCTCGAAAAAAGGATAGTTTTCTATCAATCTCCTGTACAACCTTTGTGTGCTACAATATTGACCTTATTGTCACTGTATCCTGGCATGATCGAACGTGGTCTTCAACAAGCAGCTTGCGTCAGGTACATAAAAAGAAATAACTGATAAAACATTATTTTTTCCACAAGTTAACACAATTTAATAATAACAATAACAATAATAATAATAATAATAATCCTTCCTCTCTTCAGACCATCCAGACCGATGTCTCCAATTCCAACTTTCGATGAGGACGAAATTACTACTAACAATGTGGTCGATTCTAACTTATCATCCACGCATATAGTTAAAGATAATGAATCAAATACAAATCACGAGCAGTGTAATGACAACAGCAATAGGAATTCTTTGTGTATTAATGACAATAAGACCATGGAGTCTATGGAGGGCAAGTGCTTGGACGGGCTGCGACAAGTAACCCTACAGAAAAATAACAACGACAACGAAAATTTAAATATGAAAGTTATAGAAATCGAGTCGGCACAAGAATGTACCGAATCTTACATAGAAGAGAGCAATTCCAAATATTCGCCGAAGCCAAACGATAACGTACACAGAGTACACAGTGTAAATGCCATTACGTTGACCACGGGCGACACGGATAATAGTTTACCTCGTGACACCAGTAACGATGCGCTCTCCGATGTGAGAGTGACCAATAACATCACGCAAATTGCGCATATTAATCCGGAGTTGTGCGGATTGCCACTGGAACTGTTCACGAAGGTAATATAAAATGCTTTTTTGAGAGATAATTTTTTACTATATTCGGCACAAATTGTTATCTTAGAAATTTGTACAAAAAATATGTATTTATTTTTTGTTTTCCTCTTTCTTTCAGGGATATCTGTGCTTACCTTATTTATCTTTACCCTATCTGGATCTCCTAGGAGATGTTAATGTTAGAGGATATATAGTAGGCGCTACGAATGTGTTGTTTAAACAGAAGAAGCAGCTTATCGATGTGTTAGTTGAGGTAAATTGGGTGTATATATGATAATATTTAATATTTGAATTTTAAAGAATAGAGAAGCAAATCTTTGACTTATTTTGTACTTATTACGAACCAAAAGGTTGAAAACTCAAGAATAGAGACAACCGATCCCGAATTGAGACGACAGCTGCATCTCACTACCGAGGATTTGAGATTCGCCGATTATGTTGTAAGGCATGTGGTCGAACCTCGAAAGGACATTTTTCTAGACGGAGTAGGATGGGAGGGCGGCGACGAGTGGATTAGAACACAGTTTCGGGTGTATCTCTTGAGCATGCTGCGCACCTCTATGCAGCACGATACTCGTCAATCGGATCACTACAATGCAGCATTCATGTCTGCATGGCGCGCCACAAACAATTATAAGACGTGGTGCAACGAACGTAAACAGGAGATACACAATATCGAACCTGGTCATCCCTTTGCCGGTCAGTTATCAGTACAAGATATGAAACTGCGTCTTTCACAGTAAGTGATGTTCTCAGATGCAAACTTAAATTTTTACAAGAAGCAGAAAACTTATAAAGAGAAGAATTCAATCTGTATGTTTTGTATATTAGGAAGAACATACTTTTCATATGTTTAATTAGTAAAACTATATTATAAAAATCCAAATAAATAAAACCATCTATTTTTATTGTGATTCCAGCACAATGCAGAACACAGAAAGTGGCAGAAAATTAAATCAAGCAATGGCCTCAACTGGACGCGCAGTGGCAACTACTGGGAAAGCCGTGGGTAAGGTTTTGCATGAGATTATTCCTTTTTTAATTTAAGTTAAATAACAAAAAAAAACGGATAGAGCAATATGAAAGCAAATTTAATAATGCTGATAATTTGTCTTTTCGAATTCTTAATATAACACATAAATGTTTCAAGAATTATATACTGCATTTTTCATGATTACTAATATAGCACACAATTTTTAACATTAATCAAATAATAAAAAATTCTCAACATTAATCAAATAATTAAAAAAAATCTTAATTATAAATATATAAATATAAAAAAAAAAACTAGTAGAGCATATGTCTAAATCAAATTTTTATAACGCGTTTTATAAAAACAAAATTATATTTGAAACTCTATGAACTATTTACAAGGGGGAGCGTTATCGCAAGCAAAGGGGGCATTCTCAAATTGGTGGAGTACATTGACCACAGTTCAGTCAGTCGACGAATCAAAGATTGACAATCAAACGACAAATCTCCATCACACGGTGTCTAGCATCACGGACAAAGATTCTATCGAAGATGAAGAAATGAATGTCTCCGCTACTAATAACGCAGATATTACCGTAGATCTTGATTAATTGATATAAAAGCACATCAATGAGAAACAATAGTGAATTACTCAAACTGAAAAAAAAAAAAAAAANAAAAAAAAAAAAAAAAAATGAAACACAGAGAGCATACAATGCAGTAAAGATACGTACAACTAAAAAACACATGAAATTTATGGCAAGAAATGTGTTTGTCACACGGCCGAATTTTTTAAAATATCCAAGTTTTATATATAGAAAGAGCAAAAAATTAAAAGTCTCTTATATACATACAAAAGATTACATTAATATGATACGTTGTTTTACGAGATTTTTTTTTAGAAGGTTCCTTGAAAATTGCTGAGCAAATAACAGTTAAGTGCTGATATAATGCCGATTTAATCCTTTGGTTGCGGACGCCATACATATACATATACATATATATTATATATGTATATATAAAATATATAATATACGATATATGTAATATATCGTATATAATGTATCGTATATGTATCAAGAATATAATATATCAAATCAAGTTTTACGAAAGTTCATATAACTTCGATATCTTGTGTACACATGTAGGACTTGTGTACAGCCTACTACAACTCTGCAAGCTCTGCGGAGCATTATTCAATGACGAAACCAGTTTCCCCCAAAACTTCTTTTTAAAAAGATACAAATAAATAATATAATTAACTATGTGCAGTTAAAACGATGCCGCAGTCAAAGGATTAATTATATAAATAATTGTATTAATTATTACGCGAAAAAAATACTCTGTATATAATTTTATGTTTTTACATCTACATGTGATATAATTTTGTTACACAAAAAACATACTGATAATTGTAACGATCTTGTATTTTATTTGTTTAATGTCGCATGAAGTGATGTTGTATATATAAACATCTTAATTACTGTTTACTTTTCTTAGTACGTTAGAAAAAATGTGAAGAAGAAAACATTTTGTAGAAACGTAATAAAGGTAATCGATTTTGTAAATCTCGTCCTTTTTAACAAGGACATTCGTGTATTTATATGTGTATGTATACAGTATACAAAAATATTGTTTTGTTTATATATAAATACGTATATATATATTTATATATATATATATATATATATGTATACTCTTGCTTAATACGTACCTGTATTATTTGTACATAAAACTAGTACAACATATTTATACGAAAATTTATGTTTATTATTATTATTATTATTATTATTATTATTATTATTAATTGTTTTTATACATTTTGCATATTTTATTTAAATACAAATTTTGTTTAATTTATTGCTCATAAAGATGAAGAATTGATAAAAGAATGTTTCCTTCTTTAAGAGCGCGAGATTATGAGAGAAGAGTAGTATGGCATATGTGTCAAACTACTCTATGTTATTAAGACAATTTCTATTTACTGTCTTTTCGTCGCGAACAGTGGATTATACGTATAAAAACAAAAATTAGAAATATGAAAAATTTGAAATTAAGAGAATTGACATCTGATAAAACAAATATTGTATATGTTCCACAGTTCACTTCACTAAAGCTGACCCTGTTATTGACAATATTGCTACCTCCATTTATTGTCGGGATTAAAACATTGTACAATTAAAGTTTCATGTATGACATAAAATGATCTTTACAATTTGATGAATTAGTAATGATAGATCCACACCGAAATAGCTAGTTATTAAAAAAAAAAAAAAAACTTACGCACACACATACTTGTATCCTTATATTCATCGCAGAATAAATTGTTAGTGTTGTGAAAATCGTGGATGATTGTTGTTCGTGAAAGAGCCACCGTTACTGATAATAGAATTGAGCTTAGAGCACGTGTGTAGATTATTTATAGCGCTACTAGTGTAACCATTTATAATAGCATACGTATTCGATTAAGGTAAGATGCTTTTTTCTCACTATGATATGTAAAAAATTACAAACATTTTATATTACATGAAACATCTGATATTAAATTTGTATAATTAACTTCCTCCAGCTATAGTACTTAATATTTATCCTATTTGTTTATACTTTCTGTTAAAAACTGAATTTTAAATGGTCACATTTGGCGCTAGATAAAAGTTTTTTTTAATATATTATGTATATAAGAATATATCAGTTTTTTTTCAATAAAGCTTCGAAATTATATAAACTGTTTATTTTGAAAGACATAAAAGTTGCAATATATACGTATTATCTTATTTAAATATTTGTCTGAAAAAAGTTTTTTAACTATGTTTAAAGAATAAACGGTTCATAGGTATATTTGTACAAATTTAGTTTATGTATAAGTACACTATATGTTTATGTGATATTTAGTGATAATCTATAATTTATACATGACTCCTTTTGAACTCGAATATTTTATATAAGAGATACGTCTTTTCATTTATAATGTGATGTGCCAAATGTAGAACATATACATTTTTATATGTCGATATATAAAACAAAATGTGTATTTTGTGCAATAAAACAGCGCGATTAGTTTAAATGACCAAAGTACTAGTCAATAAAATATACGTGTATTAAACATGATTACTTTTAATAATTTCACAATAAATTTGTAGATTACTCATGTTTAGATTGAATATTGCCGAAGATAAAGACATTTCATTAAATATATATAGAAAATGAATTTGCACAATACATTTAATTTTTCTCTATAATTATTTGTCTAAAATACATCATAAGAAAAATACTTGCAACTATACATGTTTAAAAACATATATATTACACGCTTATATACAAACTTTGTTATTTATTACAAAACATTTGTTACAAGCTGTCACAAAACTGTCGATATAATTGCATCTTATTTTTAGTATTTTATAGATTTATTGTTTTGTATAGCAAAAAGAAATAAATTGTAATACGCAATTTCAACTATGTATAGAAACCAAATAATTCTAACTGATAACATAATGTATTATTCATAAGATTGATTTTACATTTAAAAATATCAAAAGATAAAATGTGTTAGAAGTCTTTTAAACAAAGCTTTTTTTATTTTTGCGAGAAAAATATATATAAACTTTAATAATATAAATTTTACTTTACAATACTATAATTTACTAAGTACAGTAATGATTAAGTTATACGCATATAAAAAAAAAAAAAAAAAAATATTAAGATATATCTTTCACATTAGTAGAACATGTTCCTTTTTCCGCATTCCAATAGCTGCGATTATTTTGAAATCATTTCTTTCCAGTAATAGGACATCTTATAAATTATATATATATAGAATGCAAAGTTAATTTATCATATAAAATGTGAATAACGAATTGATAAATAATCCGACCTTCGATCTTTATACATGTTACTTTACACGTATTTTACACGTTATTATCACGAGGGAAAGTGATTTGAACTTAAGACCCTGTTGGACAATTAAATGTTTTCTATATTTATAACACAAGTTTGTACAGAGCTTATAAATATATATGAAAAATGTAAAAAAAAAACAAAAAAAGAGAATGAAATGTCACAATCAGAAACAAATTTGTTGTACTGTATTGTATGGCTGGCTGTAGTACATTTGTGAAAAAAAAAAAGAGATAAATATATCGAATTCTCTGAACATTATACGTAATGTGTGCTTCTCTTATTAACAAGTTTTTCTTGCGTTGGTTTTTCTAATCATTATTAAGTTTTTACGTTTTTATTAAAATACATATATACTCTCTGGAGTATACCGTCCATATAATATATAAAAAATATAGCATTAATATATAAAAAAACATAGATTAAAAAAATATAAAAAATATATTAAAAATATCTACGCAATATATCTTTCATTAATTTGTAGCTTTTCGACTTTAATTTTTGAACTTTAATTCGAATCGAAACGTTTATGCGCGCCGGTGTGAACGCGCCTTTAAAATCCCGCTGCGTTGCGGCGCGGAACGGTGCGGCAGCTACACACATAGCAGGGAAACGAAAGCGAGAACCGGGGATGATCTCGCCGCGAGCTGTGACTGGTCGGCCGATGCGCCGCCGAATAAACATCGTAGCTCACCGATAATAGCCGAAGCGCCGTAAGGTGCCGCTCGGTTTGCGAAAGTGAGATGGAGGAAGTCGCGCGAACCGCCATGGAGTGTGACTGACAACGTCACTGTTGTGTCGCCAACGACACTACTCGTTCAAGCAATTTGTTTCCCGAGATCGAACGAGAGAAACGGAGTCGCGGTGCGAGCCGCGTTTTGAACCGCAAGTGTTTGGTCGAGATATTCGCTTACTGCGTGCGCGGTGTGTGTTGTCACACCTCGGACCGTGACCCGCGGATCTTGGAGAGGAGCGAGCGAGAGGGAGAGAAAATACATATACATAACGCGGCAGAAGGAACGCGCGCCGCCCTGTCGCCTTTTTAAAAGTCCCGTGTGTGTCCGCGCGCGTCCGCGGAACCACCGTCGTCGTTCCGCTGTGCGTCGCACGGTGCAGTGTGTACACGTACGAGGCCGCGTGCGCGCGCGCTCGCTCGCGTATGTGTGTGTGTATGTCACAGTGTTTCTGTGTATTGCACGCTTCTGTGTATCGAGAGGAGAGTGCGTTACGGTTCTTACGAGGTGAGCTTTTTAGTGCGAATACTGTCGTGCCAGCGAGAGTGCGCGCGCGTACCGGTATCTGGGAATTTCGCTCGTGTCATCGTTCGTGTCCGGGCGATCTCCCGTACAATCGGCGTTGGATTAATCATTTCCACGTCCGTTCCCGTCTTCTTGGAGTGTCGCAGTTAACGACCCGGTGCATTGTGACGCGGCCGAAGCCGCGATTCCCCCCCCGTGTGATGTCGTCGATTGCGGTAGCACGTCGCGAAAGAGTGCGCTATGCGAGAGAGGGATAAATCGGTGACTGGCAGGCGGCGGCCATCTTCCAGATGAGTTTTTCCTCCTTTCTTCCGATAAACGAAGCGCGCTATGTCCTGAGTGAGAAGGACGGCCGATACGATAGTCCGTGAAGGGAAACCGATTCATAAAGGAAGAAACAGAGACAGAAGAGATCAGCTCTCGCGTCCGTCAACACGGGACGGGAGGATGCGATGAAACGAGACGACGCGTGCTGACGGTGATCGCGAAATTTCACGAGCGCGTGTCACTATCAGCTTCGATCACAGTCGAAGTGTGATTCGGTAATAAAAAAAAAATAATCAAAAAAAAAGAAAAAGAAAAAAAGAAAAAAAACAGCCGTTTATGCGCGAGAAAGATATAAACATATTAGAATTAATTACGTGCTCGTACGCGCGCGTGCGAGAGATAGAGAGAAAGATATAGGAGTTGTGTGTTAGGGCGGGTGAGAGAGGGACGGCGGAGAGCGAACCAGAGCGGAAGGCTGAGAAAGAGACATACTGCGTGCGGGGGAAGAAAACGGAAGTGGTGCGGAGTGAAACGAACACACGGAGAAGCGACCCCCTATTGCCGCGCGCTTTCGTTCGTAATCGCGTCGGTTTTGCAAGCGCGAAAGAGAGATCGACGAGAAGATCGAAAAGAGATCGGAGAGAGAGTAGACAGAAGAATACAAGAAGATAAGAAGAGAGAGAACGAAGGGAGGAGGAGGAGGAGGAGGAGGAGGAATAACAAGTGAGTCGCGTCGAGACATCGTCTCTCTACGATCTCAAGGAGCGTGTTGTCAGCGCGTGAATCGATTACTCGTCGTGTACGTAACCTCCAAGTCTTCGGCTGGACGTCGCGAGGAGACTGGGAGGCGGCCGGGAGGGAGGAGGGGGAGGTCTCGGCGACCCGAGCCATCGCCTTGTCGTCGTCGTCGTCGTCGTCGTCGTCTCGTCGCGCGTCTACGAACTGAGGTTTTTGTTTTTTTTTTATTTCTCTCTTCGAGCGTATCGTGCGTTGGGGAATACATTCTCGAGCCAATCGCGGCCCGATACTTATTTTGCCGCTCGTGTGCTCGTTTCGGATTTATATGATCCGTCAACGGGATCCCGAATCCCAGGACGGATCCGCGGTCATAACGCGTATGTCGCAGCCCGGTGCTCTGTGTGTGCCGCGATTTGAGATCGGATCGATCGGCGGATTAAACGGCCGGTTGCGCCTGCCGTGCTCGCTGTCTCGATCAATTTGCTCTCTTTGACTAAAGCGGCACCTACACGGTCGGTATTGTTGCGTTGTAATTTTGTCGACACTGGCATTCGGGCCAATAAGGGTCGGGAACGAAATCGCAAGATGACATCCGTAATAAGAAAAAAAAAAAACGAGCCATGCGATATTCAGTTGTAAAAGTTGCGCAATCGTCGCATCGTCATTATTAACGTTGTTTCGATAAACGCGACGAGTTCTCTCTCTCTCGGACACGTTTATTTGCTTATTAAAATATACGTAATATCGCGCGCTTGGGATAGAAAGTCCGTGATTGTGTGTCGAGATAAATTACGTCTTAGGATTGCAGACTCGCGGTCGCGAGACGCTCGATTTTTATTAAGGATTTATAAATTTCAAGTATATTGTGCCCCCCGTGTGCAGGGAAGAATTCAATTGCACTCGAATGTTCTCGAGTCAAAATGATGAATAATCGTTGATTCGTCGCGATCCGTCCTGTAATTCAGGCTTAAGTTCGAACGGTTCTAAAATACCGGCGGCTCTCTTGGTTCATCGGGGAGTGAACCACACGCATAACCTCTAATTTCAATCCTTCCTTTAAGAGACGTTCTCGGGAAGTAGAATGTGTTGTCGCGCGTCTTTTCCAAAAGACTCATTCCTTTGAATGAGAAAAACGTGCGCATTTTCGTCTGAGAAAAACACGGCGAGAAACGCGAGATAAAAAAAATTCACTGTGCGCGGTGAAAGCGATCTCTCGAACGGAAAGTCCGTCAAATTGCGTTTTTGTTTTTTTTTTAATTCGAATTTTGCGTGTCGCGCGCTCTCGAAACGATTTTCTAATTTAACACGCCGCCATTACGCACACATTGCTTTGCACACTCGGGTATACTTACCTCGCTTGACTTCCTTTTCTTCCGATGTGTCGCGAACAATCGAAGAAATTGTTTGATTTTCACGCGAGAAAAATTCACGCGTGAATTTGACAATTAAAAAATACACGCAAAATTATTATCTCACGCGTAAACGCGTCGGAGTCTCGTACTCTCGTGCGTCTTTGAATCATTTACGGATGATCTTGTCCTATCGAGCTTCATCGCTAGAGAATTCGTAGCCGTATTCGTGTATTTTTAGACGACAGTCGTTTGGGATTGTGTGCATCGGGGAGAGAATCGGCTGAAGTTCACGTGTAACAAGACTCTCTTTTCAAATCTATTAATCTCCGTAAATAAAAATAGCGTTTATGATATTATTTTTATAAAAATCGATTGTTCGCGCATCGCGTTCGAATTTTTCCTTCGGACGCGAAGCAAAAATACCGAGGTCTATAAATTTCACGATAAAAAGTGATCAGTTTCCGTTCGATAAAAACGCACTTAAAAAGTTTATTAGCAATCACGTCACTCTAATTACAAACGAACAAGCAAATAAAACGTTTCAATTAAAAAGTAGGTTGAACGCTCGGCAGTTGCGTAGACGCGCGTGATCGGGCCATTGCGGAGAGAGGAGATCCCTTCGTCGCAGAAACTCGAAGCCGGGGAACCAGGAGTGCGAAAACCTATGGATTCTCTCGCGGTGCTGCCCACCCGGTACATCGCGATCGAGAGAGTGTAGTGTGAGATCAATAATGAGACAGGTGCTCTCATTGGTGTAAAGCGATGTGGCGGAGCTGAGAGTTTTGTCGGGCGGCACTAGGGGCTCATGAAAAGTGTATCCGGTGTGCATAACGCCACCATCAAAGACCACTGTGCCGCGAAACATTTCAACGAGTTGGATCAGTGTAATTATAATGTAGTGCCAACTTTGCAGATGGATAAACAGGGATGACTGATAACTGCTGGAACTCTGGTGGTGGTAAGTGTCGTCGATTCTCTTCTCTAACGCAATCTTTCTATTTGTTTTCGTTCGTTCGTTGCTGACTTTTTTGTAACAAAAATTGTGCCGATAAAGTTACGAGAAAAGGTGATAAATGAGAGATTCGATTCACAAGACGACAAACTCCGAGATCATTAATAATTTTAACAAAGTTTTTAATTTTCTCAAAACAATGGAAAATCATTCGATGTGTGAAGTTATGTTTCGACTTTATCCAACACACATGAGATTAGATAAATAATTAAAACAAAGATATAAGATCGGAATCATACATGCGCGTTTCTTCAGAGTATGTACATACGCGTTTGGAAAATAACGTTACTTAGGTGTGTGCGTGTGTGTTGTGTGTGAAGAGAGAGATGGATGAGTGTAGGTAGGTATGTGTGTGTGCAAGCAAAAACTTTTGTACGTATCATGTAAAGAAACATAGGCGTTGCTATTAATGACTATTTTTTTTTGTTTTGTTTTGTTTTAATCCAACCTTATGCGCGAACATATGCGTAAACAGCTTCGAGAATATTCGTTCGCAAGAACATACCGGGAAGGGGAGTAGGGAAAATAGTTATGAAATCGTTTCGACTTCGCTGTGTGTGTTACGAAAGTTTAAAGGCAAATAAAACATTTGCGTTTCTTTATGTATTACTTTATATAAGAGTTCTACACAAAAGACGACCGAGTCTCTTCGCGAGTTTGCTCGTTGTTGTCTCATCGATTCGTGTTTTTTTTCTACTTTTTTTTTTTTTGTCTTTCTTTTCGTCCAAACTGAAGTTTCGTGAGATTTCGTCTATTTTCGCGGGTCGACGCACATCTACGAACACTGAGATATAATATACTGAAGGTCTCAGTTTAACCCATATCTCGACCGCGACGCGTTTCAAAAGATTGTTCCGCGCGATAAATAGATCCATTATTAATAAATTCGGCAAATCACGAGTTTACCTCCTTTTATCTCGTCGGCGAAACCCCTGCGGGGGTGAACTCTTCGCGAGCGAAATAAAGTTCCCTTCTCTCCGCGTTGCTAAGTTCGCAAGTCTCGAACGAGAGAGTCCCGAACTTTCCAATAACGTTATGTTAATCCGTTGACTCCCACGCTTTTTCGTCTATTTCGCGCACGGGAAACGCGGAAGGCGCATAGATATCGACGATGATGTACAAAAGTACTCGATATCGAAAACACAAAATGTCTGTATATGTGTGTGTGTGTATGTGCCTGTGCGCGAACATATAAACACATCGCGAATTCTCATCATCACCGCGGTTGAATATGTAGCGCGAAACTTTCGTCGTGTGTTGCGTTGCATATACACACAGTTGTGTGCGGGGCGCTCATTGATCGCCTCGCTGCTGCAACACGGCGACTTCTTTCTCTGGTTTTATCACTACGGAAATGCTTGTTTGAGAAACGCGGCGCGTATAATAATAAATTCCTGCAGAATCACGTTTAATTAGTCACGTCTCTATAAATACTGTATACGGTTGGTAAAAACAACGATAAAACTGTCGGAACCGCGCCGATAAGCCTTGGCGTGCGCGGCGTGTGTATAATAATTCGACACCGTGCGTTTTTTGGCTGGAAAACAAAAAATATTTTATAGACGCTTCTTCCACGATAGCCTATCGTGACGAAACGTCGGGGATCTCTGAGCATTCGTCGATGACACACTTTTTCGGAGAGGTTGCTCTTCTGACTTCTCGGAGATGCAGCGGCGCTGGATGCACGCGCGCGCGTGTAATAACGTAATTCGTCCGTCGTTCTCGCGTACATGTAAGAAAATGCCCGCCCGCGAAATACTCCGCGAGCAACGTCTCACATTGTTGCTAGTAGCGCCTCGCGCTTTCTCCGTGTGCCTTTTGTAGAACGAATGGAATTCCAGCTGTGTTGTCGTGACACTTCCCGCAATGTAAAATATCGCGTTGTGTTTAAAACAAGAAAAAAAAAAAACAACAACGTAGATAAATCATAAGTAAAAATCCGCGTAGCTTGTTACAAAATTGATTTGTTTGCGCAAGAGCAGTAAAATTAATTGCCAAGCAGCAGCAACGCGCATCGTGTGTAATAATTTTCAAGCGACGAAATTTTTTAAGATATTTCACGATACGTTGCTCGACGGGTTGCTGCTGCACGCTTTGTGTGTCGTAAAGGCGCATTGTTTTGAGTTGCACAATTAAACTTGCATCTCGACGAACCGCATTTATCTTCTTACGACGAGTCTGTTCGCCTATTCCAGGCACTACGAATAAAATAGCCTTGCCCTCGTTTTACATGAAAATTGTGGCCGACGACGAGTTCAATGACTGCGCTACTGCGCTCGCGCGCCCGCGCTTCGCGCGCGCACTCACTCACCTCGGATCTATTAAGCAACGCCGATGCATTCTGGCAATTCGACCGACTTGAAATTTTTTCGCGCACCGCGAACACAATTGCACCCTGTTTTATTTGTATTTTCTGATTATTATTATTATTTTTTTTTTATTTATTTTTCTTTTCAATCCGGGACGCGACTTATTGCTCGGATCGATCGCGGAGGAAGATCGATAAACATCGGTGTCTGAAAAGAACGTTGCGCCGTTTGGCAATGCGCAATGGTCGGTCACGCATCGTGAACGTGTATAATGTCTTTAACGGATTGCAGTGATTCTCGAAAGTAACGGCGAGCAGTGCGACTCATTCAGTATGTATGTGCGTTGATAACAGAAACAATGGTCTATGATAATCGAAATTAAATTATTCGAATTAGAGTATTTTTTCTATAACAAAAAAAAAAAAAAAAAAAAACTAGTAAAATCAAAATTCTGCGACACAGGTGAGTTTTTTTTTCACGTTGACTTGCATGCGAGATGTATTTTTGCTGATGGATTTCTATTTGTTATTAAAAAGTATCAATCGCTTGTGAAGCGATAACAGCATGCAAATCAACACGGAAGCAGACACACCACGCGTGTATGTGTGTGCGTGTGTGTGTGTTTTTTTTTGTGACGCAAACTTGAATTAAAAACCTTACAATTGTGTTTCCAAAGAGTTTTCAATTTGGAATGCGGATTAACTGTTCCTTTTTTTTAGACAATGTCGTTTATCATAGCGCAGATAAGAAGAAGAAAATGCGAGTGCAAGTGTCCGCGCGTTGTTGTTTTAGAGCGCGCAAATTATCGAGAGCTTTAGCTTCTTTTCAATGTTGATTCTAAATTTACGAGACTCCAGGTCGCACAATAGCGGGGTTTATTCGCGGATAGAAGGACCGACGCGGGTTAAATTCAATCCGTTTGATCGAAATAGATAATGCCCGGCATAACGTAGACCTGCGACGCTAATTATAGCACTTGGATTGCGTTTACAAGCTGCGAGATGTCCGGTTTATTGCGCGTACGGTAATCGTCGACAGCGTCGCGGTTACGAGCGACGATACACCGTCGACATGTTAACGACTGCAAATTCCAAAGATACTGACCGATGTCAGTCCGAAATCCTACGAGATTTCGGTAGGATTGCATCGTAGCGATTGATTTATCACGCGCGTTACTTATCTCTCGCGTTACAACAGTAGACCGCGCGAAAGTGTCCAACTTTTTACACATCCCGGAAGTGTTCTCTTGCATCGTCTTTCAAATCTTTGTTTTACGAATCCGAAAAACACACCTACTCCACTCCTCCGTTGTGTTTCAGCATCTCCTTCGAGTTTTTTTTTTTTTTTTTTTTTTTTTTTTCATCCAATCGCAATACTTGTATCAATAAAAAGTGAAATTCGTAATTTAAGTGAAATTAAAAGAATTTATATATTAATGAGATTTTTCCGATTAAAATGACAATTATAAGTCGTCGTCTTCTCGTGTTTTGTTTAAACGCGGAGAGATATTACTTGCTCGCTTTTATAGCTGATCATCTTGATCATTCTCTAAGGGACATTTTTTGATACAAGAAAAAAGTTCGGTTTTTTCTTGGAAGATAAAATAGATCTCTACACAGACGGAGTGTTCAATGTCGGGGTTCCGAGAAGCAGACACTCCCGCGTGATCTACTGTATCCTCCCGTTAGCGGTTACGTATAACCTTCTGTAATACGATCTAAAGAAAAAAACGCAGTAAGCGTGTAAGCATTTCACCATCTTCTAATGTTCTGCCTTTGTAGTATTCTTTTCTATGATCTTTGATAAAGTGCGATTTTTTTAATATCGCTTATCGAGAATACATACCGATTAGTTTGATTTTCGAAGATTTCTTTTATCTCTTTCAGAGTATTTTACAAGCAATAATTCTTGCTTAACCTGTCTCTCTCTCTCTTTCTCAGTACAATTTTCGTCCTCGTTTTTTTCTAATATCACGTCTCGCCTACAAAAAAAACCTATCGGAAAGATCTCGATATACGTGATTTGTGTATTAGATAGGTTTTTCCGTGCAAATTTCCTATATCTTTTTAGATAGATTCTTATCGCAGATTTTTTCGTGCTTTGTCACCGGCGCCACGGGCGAAAGGTCGAAGTGTAATTCGCTGTGACTTGTTGTTCCAGGCGCTGGCGTCAAGATGGAGCACTTTCAGGCCACCCTGGACCTTAGGAAGCAGGAGTTATTGGAGGCCCGCTTTCTCGGAGCGAGGGTGAGCTTGCTTATACTAGCAGGGTAAAGTGCCCGAATGTATGAGGATAGCTCTCCCAATAAGAAACCCCACGATTCTTAACAAGATCTCGTTGCTCAACAAAGCGCTTTTCAATTGTTAAATGCTTCTGTTTCGTGTCACCGGACAATTGCCCGTTCGCTTGTGGCAGTTATGTACGTTGGCAAAAAATTTTTATGTATACTTTGTACACTCTTTTTCCAATCATTCTATTTAAAAACCGAGTGTTTAACAGCAAGGTAAGAACTGATAAAAATTTCTATACACGTGCAAGAATACTCAAGGTTTTTAGCTTGAAATTTGTGTGAGTATTTTTATATTTTTATAACTAACAACAATTTTTTATTTGTGTCACACGATCGATTCCTAATATCGAGACCCTTTCTTATATGAGTTTCTAATATAAAGATAGAATCTTTTTTCTTTTTTATCTTTTTTTATACAATCAAGCAACATTTTTAATTGTTAAAACTTTTTTAACACAATTTTTGCAATTTTACATTTAGATAACAGATCTTCGACTAAGAATAAATAACGTAAAAAGTGAGATAAAGTCGAGCATGTAAATTAATATTTTTGAAAAGTAAACTCTTGTATTACACTTGATTGTTAGTTTGGATTTATTTGCACAATTTCGAATTTTTGATTCACGTTTATTAAGTGTGCAATTTAATTATTAGCTCATTAATTTATTAAATATGGTTGTAATTAATAGCTCATTAGTTCATTGGATGCAACTGATCTAGTTTTTTAGTTCTTTTGTAAGCAAATATATAATAAGTATATATTGACACTTTCAAGTATAATTTTATACAGGTATAAGAAAAAAGGGTCTTATATTTGGACTTTTTTTTTTTTATGAAAAGTGTTTTTTAATTTTAATTCTTTGGAGAGCAACTTTCTTATACGTACAATTATAGTTCTATTCGTGTTTCTAATTAGTATAAAGTTCATTTAACGTGTTGCTATAAACAGCCTTATTTTTACTATTTATATTACTTTTTTTTTATAAAGTTTTCAAAAGGGGTGTGTCATATTCGGGCGCTTTATCCTGTACACGATTTTTTCTCTCTCTGCGAATTCTCTTAACTACCTAGACACAAAGTTGTATATTCTCTTTTTTGTTTCGAACGTTTTACAAAAAAAGAGAGTAAGCATTTAAACATTACAAAGTAGTAATGTTACGCGATAACAGGTTTGTCCGTCAGGCGATGCTCGTTTATATTATCGTTTACTTTAGTGATGTATCATACGTCTTATCGGCTTTCAACGATAGCAGAAAAGTAATTAGTTCATCTGACTCGTGCGATCACAAGTTTTATTGTCGCAAGTCATATTATCGGCACAAAGCGAGATTCGGCGAAGATCTCGTCCGCAAATTTTCCACTTATCGGTTTTTATCACGTGTTTGGGGACCGGCAACGTGCATCGCTGTCGACACTTATCTAGATGCTCATGACTAAGCCAGCAACGTTCGAATTGTTGCACGCACGTCGCTGCAACGTGATTGCTCCGCATTTTTCCTCACCTGAAAACTCACCGGTGTCCCTTATTAGCTGCGACACGCTTGATAGAAAAATTGGCTACTATTTCTCGGCACTTTGCCGCCTGTGTGATCGTCCCATAAAACTCTAATGATTATTATGTCACTGGGTTAGAGCCAATAAATTCTGGAGGTGGACTACGCGGTATGTGCTTATTATTAGTTCGGAATCAAGACGTCATACGATGCGTAATAAAAGGACACGCGCGTCTTGAGATTTACACGAACTAGCATCTGGATTGTTATTCTGCGATATTAATCATCTATTTTTGCATACAATATCTTCGTAAACATTACCATCTTTGTGTAGAAGTATAATCGAACATCGATATGTACGGAGTGTTTTTTCATTGTCTTAGATTTTATCTATCAGAGAGAGCAAACGTGGCACACTGCGACGCCTTATGTTGCTCTTTTTACAATTAAATAAATTTTTCCTTGAGCAATTAAATATCTCAACGCGCAATTAACATGCGCGTGCAAGAAACGAACAATCTTCCTTAAAAAAATATGCGACATTTTATCAATTAGCGTTGATAGCGATATATTTCTCATTTCTCAGCACGTAAAGTAAATACATCAAATATTCCGTTAAATTTAAAGTACGTCCGCAGTTGTGACCGATATAACTGTACAATCCGTTCCGACGGATCGATTTGATCACACATCACGATACTAGTTCTTCTTTTCACTCGAAGACGACTCATTTGTATACACGTCGGTTCTATTTTCGGCAAATTACGACATCGCGATATACTGAGTGTCCCGAGTGCGTAAATTGGAATACAAAGAGTTTGGTTCATAAAAGTAATTATACAATACCACGCTTTGTATTGATTCTGTAAGAACGGAAAGAACTTCCCTTCCGGTGCAAAGAGAAAAAGAGAGAGAGAGAGGGAGAGAGAGTTTCAACACATATAAAATTTCTCCTTCAGAAATAACTTTTTCTGGGACATCCTGTAGAGGGGATATATTACGTGTCGATGTAATATAAATGAGAAACTTGCTTGTCCGCGTATAATGTAATATTTACGACGATCCGCCTATATCGATCGCACTTGCATTTATTCAGACATTAGTATTCGCCTCTCTCGATGACGTAATGTCGACGAGGAGAATATCGACGAGCAAATATCATTCTCGCAGAAAAGAGAATAGAACGTTAGATCAGAACAAAACGACAATCGTAAAGAGAAAGAATAAATCTAACTGTGCGCGCAATGTTATAAATATGACAATAACGCGCGCCCATTGGTTTTAACATCTTCATCTTCGAAACTTACCGATCATTATCGGTAATCGGTTCTTACTTTGATTCTCTTAGTCCAGATATAATCGTCCAGCTGTACAAGTTACTTAATGATAAATATTATCTACTCGATATTCCAGGAATAATTTTGAGAAAGATAAAGAAAGAGTGTAATTTCGAGAGTTGTTGAAAGAAGGGCAAAGGATATGTCTTTTAGGTTCCACCTAACCATGCGTACACGTCCGATCGACCGATCAACCGACCGACCGACCGACCGACCGGCAACGTTGCCAGGTCACATGTAAGGCGTACTCGTATGTAAGGTCTCCGCGCGCATTTAGTAGCAACGCGTGCATTTTGCATCCCGTCACACACATCCAGCGCGTCGTCGTGTCATCCGTCCGTACGTATGTCTGTTCCGGCTCATCTTCAACCGTCATCAGCGCGAGCGTATCAAGAGCCGCGGCACGTTATTATGTAGTATATATGCATCCGAAGCGGCTACGGTCGCACGAAAAGGTGTGGCCAATCGCGGCGCGCCGTTCAATCGGCCCGCCGCGTGCTATCGGAAGCACAGCGACTGGGGTCGAGTGCGACGACGTCACGTGGCGCTCTCACTTAGAGTACGGCAGTCAAGTGCGCGAGCCCAACGCGCGCTCTCGCTCGTCCACTGAGTCTGGAGAGACAGAGAGAGAGAGAGAGAGAGAGAGAGAGAGAGAGAGAGAGAGAGAGAGAAAGAGAAAGAGAAAGAAAGAGGGTGGGAGGAAAAAGGAAAGAGAAAGAGTGAGAAGAGAGAGGAGAAGAGAGTGGGGTAGAAAGCGCGCTTCGCATTTAAGGGTTCTCTCACATGGTTGGCGACGTCACGGCCGGTACTCTCTCTGTGTCTCAGTGTCAACTTGTCGTATTACCGACTGTGTTTACTACCGCGTTTTACCATTCGTCTGTTTTTCGATCGCGCACCTCATGTATTTAATTCTCTACGCACAGTTGGATTTTTTTCTGCTCGGATTGTTTTTTTCAAACGCGTTTTAATTCGGTTTGTTGAGGAATCGCCTCGTTTACGGACGTTAACAGAAGGACATCCGCGCGTGAAGGCCGCTTAAGATTTCGCGTAAGTGGCCTATACACCTACAACATATCGATGCACCTCCACACTCAGCGCGCTATTTTCTCAGGTATATGCTTCGCTCGCGGTACAAACTCTCGACTTGTCCCAGGGTCGCCATTGATCTCCTCGCGTCGGGATAATCAAAACGCTCGGCGGCGCGCGTTTACTTTTGCGACAACACCCAAGAACCTCAACCGGTTCGAGATTTTGATTGATGTGAATACGCGCGCAACTATTTTCGTTTTCGCTCTCTTCCGAAATATTCTCTTTTTCTCTGAAAAAAGAAAAAAAAAGATTGTATCTCGGAATTCGTTTAAAAAGAAACCGTTTTGCCGATTCGCGTGTGTCTCTTTGTCCGTGACTTGTCCTTTTTCGTTCTTTCATCGAAGGACGGGCTGAGTATGCGTGCGCGCATAAAACGCAGTTTCACCCACACTCACGCGACTGCGCGATGATGCAGCACGCATCAAAGGCACCCGGAGAGCTTCTTGCGTTGCGGTTAACGTTCCGATTTCTTGCGTAGCAAAAAAAAAAAAAAAAAATGTCGAGATTTTCTCTTGTTTCCGATTAAACGCGTGTTTTTTCAAATAACTTAATGCCAATCATTTTTTTTTATGTATCTATTACGAAATATCATTCCTCGCGCAATTTCTTGCTAGAAAAGAGTAAACAGAATGGTAATGTTTTTTTATCAACAGAGATCTCGTCGATTCGAAATCTGTCAGTCGAAAGTCCAAGCTCGATGATTTTGTACTCCGTACAAAGTTGTACGTTTCATATACGTGTTTGTCTTATGTGTTTCTCTTGTACGTTTATATATGTATATACATATATGTATATTTTTAGGTACATACATATGCGAAAGAAAGGAGAATTGGTGGTTTGCCGTTCGGTCGGAGTCCAACGGCAAAAATTTATACCTGCCGTGCGTCTTTTTAAACCGAAGTAAGACCCCGAGTTGTTGCCGCCTGTCTTCTAGTACCGCTTATCTACTAACCGTTCATACAACGCCGGTCCCCTATTTGTAGAGACCCTAGGCGGCCGTAAAAGTCCGTGCTATTTATACAATGTCGAATCGAGTC